AAGTTTACATAAGAGAACCCTCGCAATCACAACAGAGTTCTCCAAAATCACATTGGTGTCTCCCATGATTACATCAGAGCCACCCAGTTCACATTATAGCCCCTACGTTCACACCAGAGTCCCTCAGTTTACATCAGAGCCCCACAATCACATAGAGATCCTACGTTCACATTAGAGTTCCATATACACCAGAGTCCCCCCTTTAAATAGCAGTGCTGCAGCATAGCAGAGAGAAATAGCCATAGGTGGAGCCGATCTGGAGGTGGACTCCAGATAGGCTCTTTCTGTGATAGAGGTTCCACTGTCATGTCAATGCTGGAGCCGGCGCTTCAACAATGTGGAGGATAGAAGGGGACAGGCTATGCTGGAGACTGCAGGGGGAAATGCAGAGAGCACTGACAGTCCCTGATAATCTGAATTCTTAATGTCTGCAGTAAGTGATTGCAAAGTGGGATCCATGCTCTGCAGGGCCAGTGTGCCTGGCACACACTGCACACATTGAGGATACTTCACAGTGTGGTGTCCACAAACCCTTGGCTGTAGTGTATTTCCTTGTTTGGTAAATGTATTTTCTTTTCACTTTTGCTGTCCTGTAAAGAGTAAAAGAACAACCTGAAGGAAGTAATCATACTTATTTCAATATTGTACACGCGATAGTGTGTTACAATATAATAGTATTTCTTATAGTTAACTTGTCATATAAGAGAAATTTAGGGGATTCTAGATTCCTTCCCTATATTTATGCTGACCCCTAACTTCCATACTTCAGAATGTTAACCTGGGAGAAATCTAAAAAGCAGAAGAGCCAAAGAACAATCCAAAGTCCTTATCTGCATACATATTTTAGGTCTCCTACTCAAATGCTTGAAGCAAAAGTATCAACATGACAGCCTACCATTTTCAGAAGAGGCCTCTAGCCTCTATATTTCAGAATCAGATTTCTTATAAAATTTTCCAGTTGTATAAATTTTGACATAAATAAAACAGTAGTTGAATGTTAGAAAATGATCTGGCTCCCAATAGGTCTTTCTGCCCCCATAAAACTTCTAATCTGTTTTATTGGGTTTTTGTATGATGGTTCAAAATTTTCAGTAGATGTTTAACCACTTTTTACACAGGCCAATTACACTGTGTATATATACTATACAGTATGTACATAATAAGCCGAGGCTCCAGTGAGTAAAATGGCAAGTGCTGCAAAATTTTACATCACACAGTATCTGTGCAGCAGTTTTTGCAAATGCAAATTTTTGAGGAAAAAATACACTTTAATTTTAGTGAACATAAACACAACATAATACCCATTTCTTTGCAAAATATGAAATATTATGTTATGCTGAGTAAACAAATACCAAACATGTCTCTCCCTTTAAAATTGTGCACACTCATGGAATGGTGAAAAACTACAGTACTTAAATTCTCCATAGGCAACTCATTCAAACCCTTTACAGTTTTCCAGATTAGAGTTACACATGAGGTCTGGTACTACTGTATAATTATTGCTCTTGCTCTGACATTTACGGTGATACCTCACATGTGGTGTGATTGCCGTTTTACATATGCATGCGAGACTGACATGTGCGTCCGTGTACATGTGTGTTTGTGTGCACACAAGGACAGGGGTGCTTTGAAAAAAAAATGTTTTTTTATTATTTATTTTTTTATACTGTCAACTTTTTTTATCAACTTTATTGCTATCACAAGGGAAGGCCAACATCACTTGTGATAGCATGGGCAGTGACAGGTCCTCTTTATGGAGAGATCTGGGGTCTATGAGACCCCATATCTTTCCTCTGGCCTCCAAAGCATCTGATCAAACTGAGATTGGTTTGATCAAATGCTTTCACAAGGCAGTAATGGTTTGATTATTTCAAATCAAAACCAGAAGTGAGTAAATCCTTTTTGCTTCCAGTTTCTGATGTCATGCAGTGGGAGGAACAATATTCGTGTGCCTGGATGCTGATGCCACCAGTCGCATCGTTAATGGACTCCCCAACTCGATGGGACGATAGAGCCCGGTAGGGATGGCAGATTGTTAGCTGATCCTTGTAAAATCACAGGTTTCAGACCATAATCAAGTAATGTGTAGGGATGAGCGTAGTGTTTAAAAAAAAAATTAAAATTAACAATTTTGTTAAATTCTTCTGATTTTCACCCAAATTTTGTGGTACATTGAAATGTTTGCACATACGTAGTAATGTGTGTAAATACTTGAGGCTGGACATAAGTTGACACATTTCTAGCCAAGGAGACCGAGCTATGATGAAAATGTGGTAAAAGCATTGCTTCTTTTTTATGGAGAAAAGGAAATAATGGTTCATTAATTACTGAGGTTACTTAAACCAATTACTTTAAGTAATTACAAATGTTTATTATTGCTTTATTGTTCCCTTATTATTGCCTTTACAGGTGTTTTTTTTTTCACTGTTTGCAAATATTGACTTGTGTATGGTCTCCATATATTATGTTTGTCTGATCAAAGTTTATAATGTTTTGCTATACACCCAGGTCTTTTGCTCCTGCTGACAGCTACCCATTAAGTGGCCGGAAAAGGGTTTCATCTTATGATCAGGACTGCCCTTCAGAGATTGAAACTACTGAAGATGAAGACCCGATATATGACACAATTGACAATGAAGAAGAATATTATGACGATTCAGAATTTAGTGATACGGAAAGTGTGAGTGACACTGAAGATCAGCTGACCCAGAGTCATTCATCCAGCAAGTAAGTGAAACAAATCCATATATGGACTAGTGAAAGAATATTTGCCAATAACTTTATAACAATCTCATTAGTGGATCATTAGCTTCTTTTGGTTGCCCCTTACTGACTCCTCTCATGCTGGATGTGGTAGTGGGAGGACAAAGGCTTTTCTATTCTTCCCAACATTTTTCATCAGTATCTAATTCTGAGAAAGTAAAGTCAGGGCCTGGACAGAGCGAAGCTAAAAGGGAGGGCCAGCATGACTGAGGCTTGCAGACAAGGAGGAGAATGGATTGGGGTGGGAGTATATGCAGGAGGTGTGGGTGGTTACTCACCTGATTGGAGTAAGCAAGCTTGAGGGTGGTCTTGCCAGGATGCGGAGAGGGGTTGGGACTTGTCGGAGGTCAGTCAGAGCTTGTGCCAGCACGGGTGTGGTTTCTCCCGCCCTCCCTCCCTCCCTGGAGCTGTTTGTTGTTTTGTTTTGCTATTTTGTTTTTTTTGTTTGCTTTGTTTATTGGTTTGTCCTTTTGTTTGTCATGTTGTTTGTTTTGTGTGGTTTGTTGATTTTGTTTACTTTTATTGCTCAGCATTTGGTGTCCTGTGGTGTTTACCTGGTTTTCTTTTTGTCATGGCAGCTGGCAGGGGTAGCTGGATCTTTGAAGGGGGTGCTGGAGTGATAATTTGGTGGATTATGGATTGGGCCCATTTTAGGTATGGGTGTTCCCTCCCAATTATAACATGTTGGTAACGTGGGAGTTCATTGGATGTATTGGGCCCATTTTAGGTATGGGTGTTCCTTCCCAATTATAACATGTTGGTAACGTGGGAGTTCATTGGATGTAACTGTAGTATGTCCCCGAGGTGGTGTAGTAGTGGCTGGGGGCCTTTCCACTGGGTGTCAGATACAGTCGAGTTATTGATGTGAGTAACAGTACCTTCGAAGACCTTGGACCCGGTTGGGATAATTAATGGCAGTTATTATTTGATTGTGCTGTAAGAAGTGTTATGTACAAGTTATGTGAAATAAATGGGCTGCTATGGCCGGTTTTACACCAAAAGGAGAGTCGCGTGGTTATTTAGGTGGGGAAGGTTGAAGGGGTGGTTGTTTTAAGGTTTAGGTGGTAAGTATTAGCCTTGATATTCTGCATGTCCCTCAGCCATGTGTTGATGCAAGGATATGTATGATACTGTAGCTACAAGATGTCAGGGAGGGCTTGTGTCTATATGGTAGGAATTTGGACCATGTTTTCCAGTTTTCTGTTTTTTTTTTCCCCTTCATACAAATCTTTAAAGTTCATCAATATGCAGTATGATCATTCAGCTTGTACTAGTAGGGGGTAACACTAAATGATTTGCACTGGCTGTTGACTACAGACACAACAAAATTGGCACAAAAAAACCCTTTATTGCTGGATGTAAAGTCAATTCAGTATCACTTTTGCTTTAGGCGACACATGAGGCAGGTTTATATGATAATATCTATACTACCCATTCCACTTGAATATGCAATAATAACGTGTTGCACTATAAATCAATCGAGCGAAACACAGATAATATAAAACATAACACTCCTATAAAAATAATCCACTATATCGAAACTGAATGAATGACCAGTGCAAAGAAGTAATTAAAAACAATTCTCATAATAGTATTATAAAGCTAACTCCAAAGTCCCAAAGTTAAAAATAAATCCCTTAATTTACTCTTTGATTAGGGGCTCATTAACATTTGGTAAGCCTATATCTTGCCACTATCTTTGGTGATGGTTGGAGCTGCTGAGCACTTTTTCCTGGAAGACTAGAATATCTTTTCCACACAATAAAGGGATTTTTTTTTTCTTGAACTTTGACTTTTGGAGCTAGCTTTATAATACTATTATGAGAGTTTTTTTTAAATACTTGTTGCACTCATTTATTTATTCAGTTTTGATATAGTGAATTATTTTTATAGGAGTGTGATGTTTTATATTATCTGTGTTTCACCCAATTGATTTATAGTGCAACATGTTATTGTGTATTCAAATGTCACCTAAGGCAAAAGTGATATTGAATTGACTTACCTCCAGCAACAAAGGTTTTTTTTTGTGCCACTTTTGCTGTGACTGAAATTTGAGAATCCCCACCAACATGACAATAATTTAAAGGTCTTACATTTTAAAGGAAAGTACCTTGCATGTGACAACCTGACCTTAATAGAATGTGTTTTCATCACTGAACCTGTTTTGTGTTTGCATTTTGTACATTATTCATATTACAGTAATTACAATGTACTTCCTATACAGTTATTCTGACTACATGGACAGCAGAGCCGCAAAAGGAAATGTTCCACTGACACGCTATGGATCCGATGACCGGGAGCCCTCTTTTCAGACTGGTTATAATACATGTGATATGTCGCCTGCATATGGTATCCCCTCTAGTATGGGCACACAAGCAGTTAAAAGCGATGGAATTTATGAGAATATTCCTCAGATAGAAGACTCTGTATATGATGATATCCTTGATTTTAGGACTGAACCACCTGAAGTAAATGAGCTTATTAACACTGAGGAAGAATATGTTCACTCACTACAGCTTCTAGTTTTCCACATTCAGCCCAAACTGGAGAAGGTGAAAACATTTTTTATTGTACAAATTATTTGCAAAGCCTTTGTCTAAAAATATGCAGTATTTACACATTTATTCATGAATTGTGTTTTTCAACGAGTTCTTCTGTAAAGCTGAACTCTAGGCAGATATAAAAAAAAACACAAAATTAATGCAGTTATGAATTCATGATTAAAATCTTACAAACTGAAGGATTTTTATTGTAATATTTGATCACCATACAAACAACCTTTTGATAAATTGAGGGATTATGTGGCACAATTAATTTTTTTTGTGGGCTTTCAGGTATTGCTGGATTTTTTTTTGTCTGCTCCAGAAATATGAAAACCAATCTGTGAAATATATGGTTTTGTAGATCCCACAGGTTGATGTCAGAAGTCTCCTATGTAATGCGAATGAACTTCTTTCGGTCCATGAGTCATTTCTCAGTGAATTAAAAGATACGAAGAATGATGACCAAAACCAGCTTTGTCGTATTGGTAAGTTGGGTTGTTAAATATTGAGAACTTTCTGACCACCCACCTAATACTGAGAAGGTCACCCTTTTTTCTACCAAAACAGCCCTGACACCACTAGGCCTCTGAAGGTATGCTGTGATATCTGCTGCACCAAGCCACCAGTAGCAGCTCCTTTGAGTCCTGTACGTTTTGAGGTGGGGCCTCCATGGATCAGACTTGTGGATTGAATTAAGAACTGGAGGATATGGTGGTCAAGTCAAACCATTTTTTCAGTGTAGCAGGGCTCATTAGCCCTCTGAAAGAGGCCACTGGCATGAAGAAATACTGTTTCCATGATGGGGTGTACCTGCTCAGCAACAATGTTTAGGTGAGAGGTACAATTCAAGTAACATCCCTATGAATGGCAGGACCAAAAGTTTCCCAGCAGAACATTCCCCAAAGCATCACACTGTCTCTCCTGGCTTGCCTTCTTCCCATAGTGCAGCCTGGTACCATCTCTTCTCCAGCTAAGCAACACACATCCGACCATCCACATGATGTGGGCTAAGAATATGCATGCATCATACATACTAGGGGGAGTACAACTGGGGGTATCAATGGTGGAGAAGGATCTGGGAGTTCTGGTAGATGACAAGCTTAATAATGGCATGCAATGCCAAGCTGCGGTTTCTAAAGCGAGCAAAGTCCTCTTTTATTAAAAGAGGTATAGACTCCAGAGATATCATATTACCCCTGTACAAATCATTAGTAAGACCTCACCTGGAATATGCAGTTCAGTTTTGGGCACCAAGTCACAAAAAGAACATTGGGGAACTGGAGAAAGTACAGAGAAGGGCAACCAAACTGATACGAGACATGAAGGAGATCAGCTATGAGGAAAGATTAGAGGAACTTAATTTATTCTCTCTTGAGAAGAGGAGATTAAGGGGGGATATGATCAACATGTACATATACATCAGTGGCTCATATAGTGAACTCGGTGTAGAGCTATTCACCCTGAGGTCTTCACAGAGGACAAGGGGGCACTCTTTACATCTGGAGGAAAATAAATGTAATCTCCAAATACGAAAGATTTCTTCACCGTGAGAGCTGTGAAAATGTGGAATAGACTCCCTCAAGATTTGGTTCTGGCCAGATCAGTGGGTTGCTTTAAAAAAGTTCTGGATTCTTTCTTAGATACACAGAATATAACTGGATACTAACATTTAAAGGTAAAGTTGATCCAGGGAATATTCGATTGCCTCTTGGGGGATCAGGAAGGAATTTTTTTCCCTGCAGGAGCAAATTGGATCATGCTTTGCTGGGGGGTTTTTTTTGCCTTCCTTTGGATCAACTGTGGGTGTGGGATTACAACTTTTTATTCATTTTTTTTTTTTTTTTTAATGGTTGAACTGGATGGACTTTTGTCTTTTTTTTTTCAGCCAGACTAACTATGTAACTATGTGAAAGCAAAGATGATTCATCAGACCAGACCAACATCTTTCATTGCTTAGTCCTCCAGTTCTGATGCTCACATGCCCATTGTAGGCACTTTTGGCTGTGGACATGGGTCAGTATGGGCACTCTGATTGGTCTGCGGCTACACGGCCCCATTCTCGGCAAACTGCGATGTCCATTTTTTCTGCTTTCAACACATCAATTTCAGGGACATGTTCACTTGCTGCCTAATATATCCCACTGACTTTCAGATGAAATTGTAAAAAGATAAACAATGTTATTTAACCTGTCATAGATCATAAAGTTATGGCTGATCATTGTGTATGTGTATGTATGTATGTGTGTGTTTGTGTGTGTGCATATATATTGTATATAATACACAAGCTTCACTCCTAAATGAACATCAAAAGATGTTATTATATCTTGTGGGCAGCCATCCAGCTTAGATATCCAAGGAAAAAAGGTAGACTCACAGTAAAGAACTATTAAAAACACTTCTGTGTATCAGGAAGCCAGCAGACATAAAGACAAGATAAATCCCTCAAAGTCCACGGACATAATGGCACCACTAAGACACGCCCAATACATATAAGTTTTGTTACTCGACTTCCTCAGGGGCTTACTGTAATAATTGCTAATTCTTATAACTATCGCTGCCCTGTTATGACCTGGGTATATAGATTAAAGGGGTCAAAGAGTTGTCATTGTAAGATCTGCTAATCAGTAAATGGAACCTAACTAAAATCTGTTTTTAACATTTAATAGGGAACTTCCCAGAACTACAGTTGTGTTCAAAATAATAGCAGTGTGTTGAAAAAAGTGAATAAAGCTCAAAAGTATTCTAATAGCTTTTATTTCCATACACACAAATGCATTGGGAACACTACACATTCTATTCCAAATCAAAACATGAAGAACAATATATCAAATTTGTGTTTTTCCTCTAAAAAAAATTGAAGAAAAGTGAATATTAGACTGTTCAAAAAAATAGCAGTCTTTGTTCTTCTTTACAAACTCAAACATTCACTATATAAACTGAAAAATGTTTGAAGTTTTTGCTTTCCTTTGAATCACTTAATGAATATTTAGTTGTATAAGCACTGTTTCTGAGAACTGCTGTACATCTGTGTTGCATGGAGTCAACCAACTTCTGGCACCTGTGAACAGGTATTCCAGCCCAGGATGATTGGACTACATTCCACAGTTCTTCTCTATTTCTTGGTTTTGCCTCAGAAACTGCTTTTTTAATGCCACCCCACAAGTTTTCTATTGGATTAAGATCGGGGATTGGGCTGGCCACTCCATAACGTCAATCTTGTTGGTCTGGAACCAAGATGTTGCACGTTTACAGGTGTGTTTGGGGACATTGTCTTGTTGGAACACCCATTTCAAGGGCATTTCCTCTTCAGCATAAGGCAGCATGACCTCTTCAAGTATTCTGATATATTCAAACTGATACATGATCCCTGGTATGCGATAAATAGGCCCAACACCGTAGTATGAGAAACATTCCCATATCATGATGCTTGCGCAACCATGCTTCACTGTCTTCACAGTGTACTGTGGCTTGAATTCAGTGTTTGGGGGTTGTCTGCCAAACTGTCTCCAGCCACTAGACCCAAAAAGAACAATCTTACTTTCTTCAGTCTACAAAATGTTGTGCCATTTCTCTTTAGGCCAGTCAATGTGCTCTTTGGCAAATTGTAACCTCTTCAGCACATGTCTTTTTTTCAACAGTGGGACTTTGCAGGGGCTTCTTGCAGATAGCTTGGCTTCACATAGGCGTCTTCTAATTGTAACAGTACTCACAGGTAACTTTAGACCTTCTTTGATCTTCCTGGAGCTGATTGTTGGCTGAGTCCTTGCCATTTTGCCTATTCTTCTATCCATTCGAATGGTAGTTTTTCACTTTCTTCCACGTCTTTCAGGTTTTGGTTGCCATTTTAAAGCATTTGCAATCATTTTAGCTGAGCAGCCTATCATTTTCTGCACTTCTTTATATGTTTCCCCCTCTCCAATCAACTTTTTAATCAAGCTACGCTGTTCTTCTGAACAATGTCTGGAACGACCCATTTTCCCTAAGAATTTCAGAGAGAAGTACACTGTAACCAGCATGTACAACATTTGCTGCCTTCCTTCCTTAAATAAGGATAATAATTGCCACCTTTTTTTCAAAGAATGAATGATCTCACTAATAGAACTCCACACTGCTATTATTTTGAACATGCCCCTTTCAATTAGTGATTCAATTACACAGAATCAGCAGCATGCATGTCATGACTGTTGGGTCTGTTGGATTTCTATTACTCTACTACACCTGCTAGTAAATTATTTGCCATGTAGAAATATAATTTCTACCAAAAACAGTGATTGATCTGGTTAGTGATGTCTGACTGCTATTATTTTGAACACAACTGTATATAATAGAAGCTGGCTTTGTTTATTTGTATGTGGCAATTTCTACTTAATTCAATACTTAGGCACTGATCTGGAAACATGCATGCATATTGATATTTCTAACTTTGTTGGCTTTGTGCTTTTCCTGGGTCACTGACATACTAGGTAGCAAAGCATGAATAAAGGAGAAGGTCCAGAACTTGGACTTTTAAAAACATATTAGCAGGTCCCATATTTCTATCACAAAAGGGTTCCTCTTAATAAAAACAGAGATTTCAACTGTATTCGTTATTAAAATAAGGAAAGAACATGCCAAGACACCGTTAAGTGTTGTTCTATGCATTTTAGGCATGGGCATTGTCTAATTTCACTTTGTAAACACAAAACTGAAGAGCATCAGATTCAAAATGCTTCCATCTACCTTCTTGAAGTCTTCAAAATGAAGCTATACTTTGGTCATTTAGGAAAAGTTTCACATTTGGGTGGACTGTTCACCCCTCCAGCTATCCAGGCATGCATTATGTAAGGAATAGGATAGTTGCATGTTCCCCTACTGAGACAGGTTTTTTACTTGGATCCAGTGGCCAAAAAACATGATGGGGGAGTAGGTGGGAAGTTAACCACTTTCCGCTAAAGGACGTCATATGGCATCTTCAGTTTGAAGAGGTTACACTGGCATGATGGCGGTGATTCCATCAAAGGCATAAGCGAATCGAGTGGTCTGAACAGCCACTCAATTACTTCTGAGGTCAGCGTAATTGGGTCCCCCCCTTTGCCTCGCGGCACTATATAGAGAGAGGAACTAACGTTGTTCTTCCTTCTCTGAGACCCTGCAAACTGGAAGTGACAAGGATTTTGTTACTTTCCGTGTAGTCTCTTTGTTTACTTGGCCACTGGGGACAGTGTAAGAATAAAGTTTCAAATAAGAAAATTAATGAAATAAATGATTAAAAAAAAAAAAAAAAAAATAAGTGTCCCCTCCCCCATGCTTTTGCACAAACGTGAACGCATACGCAAGTCCCGCACACGTGTAAACGGTGATCGCACCACACGTGTGAGGTCACGTTGCGAACATCAGAGCAGGAGCAATAATTTTAGCCTCAGACCACCTGTGTAACTTTACACTGGTAACCTGTAAAGGCTTTTAAAGCATTGCCTATGGATATTTTAAGGTACCCGCAGTACCGCATGCAATTTTAAAGCATGACTTTGGACCTCTGTCTGTTTTATTGTTCTCGTGGGCTTCATTATAGAGATTTCCCCTCACATTCTGTTCTAGGGACAACCTTGTACCTGGAAGAAAGTGAGACAGCAGTAATATCTAACAACATCTCTAATCCGTCTTCACTCTGTCCAATCCTAAAAAATGTTTTTGCTACTTATTAATCTTAAAGTATATCCAAGGCCAAAACCTTTTTTCCAGTCTTTTTTTGCCATTTTTGTCCCATTGGGGAGATTTTCCTTTACTTTCTGTTGTGTATTACCTTCCTGGTGACTCCTTTAAGCTGGACAGACATTGGACACTGCAAACTATTTCTGCTATGTATGCCGTATATTGCCAAGATCTTCTTCTGTCTCTCACAACCATATTAAAGTGCTGAGGTCTCCTCCGGTCCCAGGTTATTGTGTCAAAGTGGTGGAATCTTCTGCTGTCTGTATTACTTACATCATTGAGTGGGAAGATGTCTTGTTTTTATTATCCATGTCACAATGTGCCACGATCTCTATCACAGGAGGTTTCCTCATGTTTATTTTATGAATACCACAGAGTTGTGAGATGTCCCATGTCTATCACCCATGTCGTTTGTTGATGAGACATCCTTCATATATCGTCTATGTCATTCGTTGTTGAGATGTCCTACATCTATCACCTATGTCATGCATAGATAAGATATCCTCCTACCTCAGTCACCCAGGTCATTGGTTGGCGAGGTGTCCTCCTTCCTCTTTCACCCATGTCGTTGGTTGGTGGGATGTCCTCCTACCTTTGTCATCCTTGTCGTTGGTTGGTGAGATGCGCTGTTACCCTGTGGCCCATGTTATTGGGAGGTGAGATGTCCCCTCAACTTTAATACTCATGTGGTTAGTGAGATTTCCTTCTGTCCATTTCATCTCCTCCATAGTATTTGTCAGTGCAGTTAATAAATATATAGGCCAGGGATTCTGAACCAGGGTTCCATGGAACCCTAGGGTCTCTCCAGAGGTTGCTAGGGGCTCCTTAAGCAATGAGCAATTTCTGTCTTACAGATACATTCACAATGTCACTATTGATCATTTTACCTATCTGTAACAGGGTTATTCTTCCCAATGATCACAAGTGTGATCAAGGGACATTTAGGGACATTAGCCATCACACTAACGTATTATGAGTTGTAGATCTAGTAATTAATAGTAGGAGTTCCCTGAGCCTGGAAAGTTTTTTTTTTTTTTTTTTTTTTTTTAAGGGTTCCCCTGTGTTTAAAAGGTTGAGAATGGCTCATATAGGCTAATATTTACAAGTATAATTAAGAAGTGCAATATGTTTGCTTTAAGTACCAGGGTACTTTGCACTGTCATTGCAAATTGCACTGCCTTTTTTGTTTGCAATTCCTTCTGTGACAGATGTGGGTTAGCTTGAGGGGCTCTAATCACGTTCGTAAAAAATGTTATCTATAGTGAGACTGTATGGACTGTTGTTTATCCCATGAAGCTGTATGCACAGAATTGTTTATCCCAAGGTTAATGCATTTTAAAGCTTCATGCTCTTAACAGGGCACATTTTCAACCTGTTAAAGTGCACTTGTGGCTACTTTAAAGTGCTTAACAAGCAAGAGAAATTGAAAACAGCAATCTAGAGGGACTTTGAACCTCGTACCCTGTAAAGCTTTTCTGGAGTCCTCAAACCCAGGCTAATCTGTTGTTTAAAAGGCAGCTTGTTTCTGAAGTTGAGTTTTGAGTTACCTACTCCCACACATGACTATTGGTTCAAAACTATAATGGATGTCTTATTGGACATTTATGATACAAGGGAAAGGTAGGCCTTAGCTCCCCATCACAAGAGGTAGTGGTTACATGTATGTTTAGATGGGCTCCTAAATGATAAAATATTTGCTAATTCTATTAAAAATACTTCCACTCACAACAGACCCCATTGTGTGTGGTGGAACAGAACAGGCCTGCTTAATTTGTTGGGTCTTTCCGGATATCTAGGATACAAGTGGGGATATCTCTAGCACACTTTCTATCTATGTTAAAGAAGCTGAGGTTGGTGACATTAAGCAGTTTATCCTCTCAATTCCATTCACCACGTCCCCATTCTGGGGAGGGGGAAGATCAACCTATCAGGCTCTGAAACAGCAGGTAAAACTGTGTTTTGCTTTTCAGGAAGCCTTTTTCAGGAATACAGCAGAGATATGGAAAATGCATATGCAGTTTATTGCAATGGATTTACAAGATCTGCATCACTACTTCAGAGTTACCAAGAAACACCTATAAATGAAAAGCTCCAGGAAATTCTACAAATTGTACAGTGAGTACCACTGATTTCTCTGTATGCTGCAAAACACATCAACAGTAGAGCTGAAAGATGTTAAAGTGCACCTGTTGCTTTCTGAGCAAATTATTCAAACTTCTTTATTCTTTGTCAGTTGGTATTTTTTATGTAATGTATTTTAGAAGAGTTGTGTGCATGTAGCTCATTTTTCTTCTGACTTTATCAATCTAAAAAGCAGAATCTGTCAAACATTACGGCATCTAGCTTGATGGATGTGCTGCAGGGTTCTGGGGTCTCCTGCCTCCCAGGCCATCTATGCCTTAAACAGATGTAGGTCTGCTCCATATAACAAAAATTTTTTTTATATACTGTATATATTCCTCATCATCTGTCAAACGCCTTCTGAAAAGTGATCCACCACAGATCATTTTCCAGAGGGTAACGCTACTGTGAACAAGTTCAAAAAGTGTCCACAGAGTGATGTTTGGGTTGAGATGCTAAATGGACATGATTGGAGTGTAATCAACAGTTTTAAGTTTGCTAAAAAAGAGCTGAAAGGCCAATCTGGTGTGAAATTACTTATGAAAAGTAATTTGACTCCAGGGAAATGCAAACCGTTACAAAAAGATACTGTGCCAGTGGTTCTGACAGCCTGCTGATTAGGCTGCAATAGTGTTGTACAGATGCAGTACCTCTATGTAGTGCCTGGTAGACATGTGCACACCAGAAATTTCCATTTTGGATGCATTCTTTCATTGAAAAATGTGTTCTATCATATTTGTTAGGTTGACCCGATTCATTTTCAGAAATCTCTTTGCATTTTCGGCATTCCTTTTATATATTCATTGGTTCAGGCAGATTCAAATAATTTAGCAGTTTTCCCGGAAGATTGCTTTATATATTCAAAATATTATTGAATCAGACAGATGTGAATCAGAAGGATTTGATGTTTTCGTACGTTTGTCCAACCCACCAAGAAAAATGCCATGAGCTGATTGGACAATATTGACTGGTGTCATGTGCATCCAAATTAACGAAATTCGGACCCACTCGTTATTTGAATCTGAATGATCAAATAAATTTGAAAATGTAATTAATTTCCCCATGGGCCAGAACTACTATTGCATCATGTGAAGTCATCCAAAGGCATTAACTAATTTTGTTATAACTTTTTTCAGATTCATTGACGTTCGTTACTATGTCAGTTTGGAGATTCATATACATCTGAAATTTTCTCCAGAAAAACAAATTGTAATAAAACAAAACGCACATATCCAGTGGATGGATAGTTGCTGTTTCAGATTACTCTTCCTGCGGTTGGGTAAAAATCCAGTACTGGTTTGTTTCTACAAATCAGTGTTTCAAAATGTTTGCACAATGCTGGCTTCCCTGTGGCCAAAGGGTCAGCACAGGCTTTTGTGAGATACAAGTCTGCATCCTAAGGAAGGGAACTGCTGATTCCTGAAACTGGTAGATGAATGAGAGCTGACAGAAGCCAAGAGACGCAATCATACATTTGTATGATCTCTCACAGGTGCCTGTGCTGTCCCACTGGCCACTGGGAAGCCAGCGTCCTCCAAACAGTATACTTTCCAACTGTTGATTATACTCCATCCTAAGCCACTTGGCATTTCAATTCAGACATCGCTCTGTGCACACCTTTACTTTACAATGTTTGGCAAGCGCTGTTCCAAACTTATGTTTTAAATCAACTTGTGGTGGTCCGCTTTCATCCATCTTTTGGTTGCCCATGACTCACCCATTTGTGCCCTACCACAATGCTCTAGTTGATGGAGTACTTAGTTAAACCTAAATCTGAGTCCTCTGGTATATCCATATTATGACATTCCAGACATTCACATTCTGCTTGGATATTTAATGGCTGATTACAGTCTTAACTTTATCAGTCTCCTTTTAGGGCTAGTTCTGTAAACCTCATATTCTGGAAGCATGGCTTGGTTGTTTTTAAAGAGCTGGAACAGGAAGATTTAGTCATTCTAGTCATTTAAATAAGAACATGATGTCAAAGTGAATAGGGACTTTCTAGATCATTGTTTCTCAACTAGGGCACCATGGAACCTTAGGGTTCCTCCAGAGGTTACTAGGGGTTCCTTGAGCTGTGAGCAATTCCTGCCTCTCAGATAAGTTCCTACTGACACCAATTATCTTTTTAGCTATCTCTAAGCAGAAATTCTTCCCAATGTACACAAGTGTAAGGGGCAATCTTCCTACTGACCATGGCACTAAGGCATCGGGAGTTGTAGATATAATAATTTTTAGCAGGGTTTTTCTGATACCAGAAAGCTATTTCAAGGGTTCCTCTGTGATAAAAGGTTTGAGAGGCTGTTCTAGATCAAGCCTTACATAAATTGTCAGGTTGGTTGCTTTGTACAAGTTTTCACCTTTATTGCTTGTGGTTATATGATTTTTAAATAATAATTTTACTAGTATCTATGTTTCTTTGACAGAAATTTGGATAGCGCTAAACAGTACAAAGACCTTTCCTTCTACCTGATACAGCCCGTACAGCGTATTACCAGGTACCCCTTGTTATTGCGCAGTATTCTGAAAAATGTACCACAAAATCGACATTCACAAGAGATACTTCAGAGGGCACTTGACACCATGAATGAGGCAAATGTCAACATCAATGAAAACAAGAGGCGTAAAGAAATTGGTGAGATAAGTGTGAATTCATGAAACAATTTTGATAGGGTAATTTTGCTTTATATTTTTTATTATTATTATTTATTTGAAACTACCACAGGTGCATTAATATGAATGTGCATCATTATTCCATTGTTTTGTTGGAATGACAAAGAAATATGATTTAATCATTAAAGGGCTTTTTTTTAAGCTACGATCCTTCAGAGCAGCAAGAAGGAGTGGTGCAGTTTGCATAAATCCAGGATCAGGAACTTTAATCTTAGGGCTCATTTACACTTACAAATATTATATGAAACTATGCGACATGCCAGTTTTTTATTTGTTGTCTTTGTCCAAAAGATTTGGTAATATTCGGGCATAACAGAAAAAAATGCAAGAACATTCGATCAGAAGAAACATTCCACCAATAAGGAAATAAGCTTATAACTGTCGGCTAAAAATATTCTACCAGAAGAGGAAGTAATATGAGGCAGGCCTTTGCAATTGTGACAAAGTGTATCAAGATTCCCACCACTACTGCTACTATAGAAGGTGGACTGCCATACAAAATTGCTACAATAGTGCAGAAATGGAATTCCATTGTTTGAAAAGTTTACCGGACTGAAACTCTTCACAGATGAACAACAGATCACCTAAGGCAAATATTGGAATTCTGTCTCCGCAACATTGTATGAAATATGTACAGCAGTTCACTCTCTGCAGAAGCAGATTTTTTTATGCTATCCATGGTGAGCAGGAATCTCCATACACTTTGTATGCAGAGGTCTCCTTCAGTTTTATTTCTTTTGTCGTGTGGTTTTAGCCTGTAGTGTTAAAGTAGAACTATAGGCAAAACTTTTTTTTATTTTGCATAGAGCAAGGGAGAGTTCTAATCCCTGTCAGATTTTTTTTTCCCCATCTGTGTCCCATTGTGGAGCTTTCCCTTCACTTCCTGTCCGATAGCAAAACAGAAAGTAAGAGAAAATCCATGCAAATTAAGGCAATTCCTTGTCACCAGAACTTGTGTCCCCAATGGAAAATTTGCCCTCTATTACTTTTCTGGGGACAACCAAAATTTGGGATTTTCTTTTACTTTCACTTTTAACGATAATCGTAAACAGGACAAATAGAGAGGGCGAATCTCCTTAATGGGGGCACAGACAGCAATAAATACCTGACAAGAATTATAATCCCTCTGTGCTGTATCCAAAACTAAAAAAATAGTTTTGCCTTTAGTTATACTTTACAGTGGTTGTAAAGGCTCAAGGTTTGAAGGTAAAAAACCTTATTTGTGTAGCAGTTTCCCCCCCCAATAGTCACCTAAGCCCCCTCTTGATCCAGCGATGTGCACTGGAGTCTCGGCTATCCCGGGACTCCTATCCCTCAGTGGCTGAGACAGCCATTGGCTCCTGTTGCTTTCAATCACAGCCAGTGAGCCAATGAGAGAGAGAGGGGGCGGGGCCGAGCTGCAGCTCCATGTGTGAATGAGCACACAAAGCAGCGAGTCCCCCCATTGGAAGCTGCTTGCTGTGGGGGCACCCAACAGAAAGGAGGGGCCAAAAGAGCCTGTGGGGGACCCGAGAAGAGAAGGATATGGGCTGCTCTGTGCAAAACCACTGCAGAGAGCAGGTAAATATAGACATGTTTGTTATACTTAGATAAAATAGCCTAAAGGCTTAATTTTTTTTCTATTGGTTGAATGTTCTTTAACTCTCCTGGCTGAGGCCCCAATCATACTTCGCGTAGCAGGAACTCTCAATTTTCTCACAATTGTGTGTGTCGCACCTAGGGCAACCTGTTCACTGGGCTGCCTTATGTGCATTTTTTCCCCCAGAAGAAACATCTGCTCCTTTTTGGATGAAAAGCTTCACACTTTAAAGGCATGTTTTGCCATGACTGCCACTCTAGTCTGTTGTGCAACAATCACTACAAAATTGCACTATATTTGGGATGCCACTTAGAATGAATGGCACCCAAACATGCATTGCACATTTTGCAGTGACTACCACACAATGTAGAATCAAAACTGCATCTTTCCGATTCTGCTGACAATTCCAGGCTTTTTTCTCTTAGAATCGAATGTTAGGGAATGTTACAAAAGGCAACAAGCAGAAACTGACATTTAACACATATTATAAACATTTCGTGTACTATTTGTGACTTATGCGTGAATGCTGAGACATTCATACAGCAAATCCTTTTTTCTACATAGAATTAGCTTTAACTTAGCGTTAAAGCTTGCATGTTTAACTTTTTTATTTGTTCCCTGGAAGGTACAGTATATGCTCTACAATATTTTAGCTTTTTGTACTTGTGAACTTATTTTCATCTAACAGTACATTAGTTTTTTACTTTCTAATATCTGTACATACAAGTTTAGGAACTTAAGAAACTGCAAAAGATGTATGCCTATGAGGAGGATGTGGGGGTGCACTTGGCAGTATTATTGAACAGATAGATCTGAACCTGGTGTACATTTTTAGGGCCCATTCAGTCCTGTCAATTTTTGTGCATTATGCAAACAGGTGTGTGTTAATTCTCACTAGGCAGGGGCATATTTACCACAAGGCATTTGCCTAGGGCAGCATTTTTAGGGGGGCAGCCCCCCGGAAGAAGGAACATATGCGGCATAGGGACCAGATGTGATCTGAGAGAGGCTACAGGCTGCTTGATGGTGTATGCAGAGCCAGACTGTTGTTCCTGGGGATGGCCAGAGCTGTGAAGGTGAGTGTCTTTCTCTCCGTGGGGGGAGGTCTGGTGTTAGTTGGTGTCAGGCTCTCTCCGCCGGGGAGGAGGGGCATCCAATTTTTGTGTTGCCTAGGGCAGCACAAAACCTAAATACATCACTGTCGCTAGGTCATAATTAACATGCATTGTGTTAAGGCAGCCCATTCAGTTTGGGCTACCAATGCTCAAAACAGAACAATAAATGGACATACAGCCTTTTTTTCGATGCAGCACACCATGAGGTGGTGAGACACTGTGCCACGTGTTGTGCTGCAATGCATTTGTGCTAGAGCTGCTCTGTCTTAGGGCATTGGGATTATTGGTGTTAATGTGCATTGAGGGAATGTGATTTGTTTCTCAAGAGTTGATACCAGTTCACCAGGAACTTGTGCTTCAGATACTCCAAGCAACAACCAAAATGTCTTATTTCTTATGCCTTGCAGCTCAGGCCTTCCTTTTAATTGGGCATCATTGACAGCTTGGCAGGCATCCAATTGTTCATTGGATATTCCCTGTTATCAGCTGTGTGTGGAACCTTAACACTGCATTCACATCTGAGCGTTTTTGCAGTTCAAAGCTACAAAATACAGTCAATTATTCTCTATGCTTGTTCACATCCGAACGCTCAATGCCTGTAGCTAGAAAAATTTCTGAGCTTCTTTTGTAGCTCAAATTGGGCAGATAGTTTCCTACTGGCTAATACAAAAACGCCTTCTTAATGAGTTCTAAAACACATGAAAATGCTGTAATAAAATGAGCGCAAAAGCTTCACGCTCAGGTGTGAATGCAGCCTAAATGTAAACCTATCATAAACCTGGACAATTCAGACTGGCCATTTGATTTAAAAACACATAAGCTGAGTTTCAAGCTTCAGTGAAATCCAAAATATTTAGCTGATTAGTTATTCCCAAAATGTAGGCTACTGAGGTCGTCTATGACTGTTGCCATTTTGTAAAAGCTGATCTGAGCCTTGCCTTCAGCTACTCCCCAAGCCCCAGTGGTCAGTGAAGCTATCCATCATATTATAGGGCCAATAGGGAAGGGGTGAGGCCAAGTGGGAACAATCTAGGAAAAGTCAGAATTTAACAAAAAAAAATTTAAATTCAGCTGCTTATGTCTGGATTTAGTGATCCTTTTGCCATGTGTTTTTTCACAGCAGTTTACCTGTGCATATGCATTATGTTCATCATATAATTAGTTTAAGTTGTCCAGGCTTCTTACAGGTTTTAGGTTGCATTAAAAAAAATGTAATTTTTTTTAATTATTCTTGTGCACAGCCTCCAAGTATTTGCAGTCAGACCAGAGGACGTTGAGGGAAAAAATATCTCAGCTGAATACCCACACTATCAGCAAGAAAACGAACAGGTTAAGCACGTTTTTAAGACAACAGGCAGGCATGTCTCCCAAGGTATGTCATTTTGATTGTGCTGTATTGGTCACAATTTAATTGTTAATTCAAAATTAACACAATTAAAAATTAATTTAAGGGTGTTTAGCATGCGTACTTATGTTTATAGACAAAAAATATAGTTGTATATCAATAAAATATGCATTAAAGTAGTAGTAAACTCTCAGTGTTTTTAGTTTAATACATTGAACACAATAAAATGTACATTCCCCTGCTTGCATGAATGTCCAGTCTTCACAAGAAATAACTGTGAACAGTGCAGTTTCTAACAGCGGCTCACATAGCAAAATGTATGTTATGTTTGTGGCAAATTCTGAATAGTATCAATAGTTGTGGTACACTGTGGCAAACTGAAGAGTTTAAAATTGGTGCACAAGTATGGGGCTAACAGTGGTCCCAGTGTTGGCAGTGTCAGTGGAAGAAGAAAACATTCCCTGCATCAGAGGTGTTGCCAAGAGGGAAAATGGCACTGCATCAGTGGCAGTGGGGTAAAAAAACTGCTGCATAGCTGGTGTTAGTCTGAGAAGGACTGATTGGCATCTATGCCAAGGGATGAAAGAGGGAAGGGGAGGTGGGCTCTCAGAGATGCATGGAACTAAAGAGATCTAAAGGGGCTCTGAAGGAGGAAAAGGGGTTGAAAGGGCTCTATGGGCTCGTTCAGATGTGCAACTATTATTGCTGCCCCCCTGAAAAATAATCCATGGTGAATTACTTTTAAGAGAGCATTTGACAGGTGGTGGGGAGGCAATATGTCACCTTCTTACTGTCTGCTTTAATTCTGAAAGCGCCATCCTCCCTCCGGAAGTTATTGGCCCCTGCTCCTTCTGACAGGACAGGAGGAGCAGGACAAGAGACCAAATCTCCAGCATGCGCCCCCTCAATACAGCGCTCAGAGCACGTTTAGAGCACATGCACCTTCTCTTTCCCCCTTGTCCTGACTCTGGGGTACACAACTCTAGACCCAGCTATCAGCACTGGAAATCGCACACCTATTGGATTGGGAACGGCTCTGTACTTACGGTTCCCATGTGAATTGCAATTCCACATATATGGGTATGCCGTTCCTTCAGAGCGCTCTCGCTGGTGATGTCACAGGCTGCTACTCTCTAGAATATTTCCTAACTGGTGCACATTTAGGAGATATTGCTTTTACCTACAGGTAAGCTTTATTATAAGCTTACCTATAAGCAAAAATTAAAAAAAAGAGTTTACTACCACTTTAAAGTGATTGTAAATGTTAATATTATTTTTTTTAAAATAACAAACATATCATACTTACCTGCTCTGTGCAATGGTTTTACACAGAGCATCCCGAACCTCCTCTTCTGAGGTCCCCCACCGGCGATCTTGGCTGCTCCTCTTCTCCAAGTGCCCTTATAGCAAGGAATGAAGAAAGATGCTTAGCATTAGGAGCAGTCAGCTTATACAGTGAGATTTTAATTTGTAGTGTAAAAAAAAAAAGTGTGTATGTATGTATGTATGTGTGTGTATATGTGTATATATACACACTGCTCAAAATAAATTAAAGAAACACTTCGAAAACACATCAGATCTCAATGGGGAAAAATATCATGCTGGATATCTATACTGATATGGACTGGTTGATATGTTAGGAAAGTAAGGATGCTCCATCGTTTGATGGAAATGAAAATTATCAACCTACAGAGGACTGAATTCAAAGATACCCCAAAAATCAAAGTGAAAAAATTATGCAGCAGGCTAGTCCATTTTGCTGAAATTTCATTGCAGCAACTCATAATGGTACTTTTATGGCCCTCATGTGCTTGTATGCATGCCTGACAATGGCGGGGCATGCTCCCAATGAGATGATGGATGGTGTCCTGGGGTATTTCCTTCCAGATCTGGACCAGGGCATCACTGAAGCTCCTGGACAGCCTTGTGGCTTTGGATGAACCGAAACATGATATCCTAAAGGTGTTCTATTTGATTTAGGTCAGGCAAGCGTGGGGGCCATTCAATGGTATCAATTCCTTCATCCTCCAGGAACTGCCTGCATACTCTCTCCACGTGAGGCCGGACATTGTTATGCACCAGGAGGAACCCAGGACCCACTGCACCAACGTAGGGTCTGACAATGGGTCCAAGGATTTCATCAGGGTGCCATTGTCTAGCCCAGGGGTGGGCAAACTTTTTGACTTGAGGGCCGCAATGGGTTCATATATTGGACCCGGGGGCCGGACCAAGAGTAGATGAATGATGTGTATGTGTCATCCATAGTAAGTATAGTAATATTCCCCCATAGTAAGCATAGTAATTCATCCCCCATATAGTAATTCATCCCCCATAGTAATTCATCCCCCATATAGTAATTCATCCCCCATATAGTAATTCATCCCCCATAGTAATTCATCCCCATATAGTAATTCATCCCCCATAGTAATTCATCCCCCATAGTAATTCATCCCCCATATAGTAATTCATCCCCCATAGTAATTCATCCCCCATATAGTAATTCATCCCCCCTATAGTAATTCATCCCCCATATAGTAATTCATCCCCCATATAGTAATACATCCCCCATATAGTAATTCATCCCCCCTATAGTAATTCATCCCCCATATAGTAATTCATCCCCCATATAGTAATTCATCCCCCATAGTAATTCATCCCCCATAGTAATTCATCCCCCCTATAGTAATTCATCCCCCCTATAGTAATTCATTCCCCATATTAATTCATCCCCCATATTAAGTCCCCAAGTCCCCCCTGTGTCAATTCACTTACCTTTGCTCCGCGCGTTCCTCTCGCCGTGTTCCCGCGCCGTTCCGGTCTTCAGGGCGGACTGTGAGAGGAGCCTAGCTCCCCTCCCCCACGTTCGTCACGCTGCCCCGCCTACACATATTCTGACAGGCGATGTTTGCCACGCTCCGCGGGCCGGATTAAAAGGTCCGCCGGGCCGTATACGGCCCGCGGGCCTAAGTTTGCCCATTGCTGGTCTAGCCTGTAGAGGTCTGTGCATCCCTCCATGGATATGCCTCCCCAGACTATCACTGACCCACCACCAAAACGGTCATGCTGAATGATTTTACAGGCAGCATAACGTTCTCCATGGCTTCTCCAGACCCTTTCACGTCAGTCATATGTGCTCAGGGTAAACCTGCTCTCATCTGCAAAAAGCACAGGGCACAAGTGGCAGACCTGCCAATTCTGGTGTTCAATGGCAAATGCCAATTGAGCTCTATGGTGCTGGGCAGTGAGCACAGGGCGCACTAGAGGACGTTGGACCCGCAGGCCACCCTCACAAAATCTGTTTCTGATTGTTTGGTCAGAGACATTCACACCAGTGGCCTGCTGAAGGTCACTTTGTAGGTCTCTGGCAGTTCTCATCCTGTTCCTCCTTGCCCAAAGGAGCGGATACCAGTCCTGCTGATGGGTTTTGGCCTTCTGGCAATGGCATGTATTGATGTGCCATCCTGGAGGAGCTGGACTGTCTGTGCAACCTCTGTAGGGTCCAGGTATTGCCTTTATGCTGCCAGTAGTGACACTGACCCTAGCCAAATGCAAAGCTAGTGAAAAACAGTCAGTAAAGATGAATAGGGAAAAAATGTCAATGGCCTCCACCTGTAAAACCATTCCTGTTTTGGGGGTCGTCTCATTGTTGCCCATCTAGTGCACCTGGTGTTAATTTCATTAACACAAAAAGCAGCTGAAACTGATTAACAACCCACTCTGCTACTTAACTGACCAGATCAATATCCGAGGAGTTTAATTGACTTGATGCTATACTCTGACTAAAAGGTATATATATATATATATATATATATATATATATATATATATATATATATATATATATGCTCACTTCAAGGCTACTCCATATTTTGCCTATCTCATCTTTTAGCACTAGAATGATATCTGCAATCTTTTGTTTGGGAAGGATTTTGTGAACAATTCAAGTCAAAATGTACGGTATCAAGTTCTACTGATTCAATGGTATTTCCATGCCAGAAAGTTATAGTTAGTGTTACTAAACCCACAACAGTAAAAATAGGCCGGTAAATGTAGTAAAACATGCTTGTTCTAATCACTGTGGAACTTAAGGGGTTAATCCTCTACATTGTGTAAAAAAGGATTTTTAATCCTGCCTTCTCTGATCCTCCCCTTCTTCCACTGTCCACCGACTCATCTGCTGATAGAACAGAGCCTTGGCAGCAAGCTGCACATGCTCAGTTTGGTGTGTATTGCTAGAGAGTTTTTTTTCTTGGGAGAGTGCATGTGATCAGCACAGGGCCAATTAGCACTGTCCAGACAGAGGGTCGGGGGTCCTGCATCCTCATAGGACAATCAGGGGAGAATGAAAACTTCTCCTACAAGCTTTACCAGTGCACTGCTGGACACTGATAGAAGTCACAAGACTGCTCTAACTGCTGATGATGAGAAAAGGTATTTAGCAGTTTATATTTACTAAAATAATTGTATTTCCATGTTCTGTGTACTGTGGGAGATCAGATTGGGGATTGGTGAATGCAAGGTCCTGGGTTTAGTAATAGTTCTTGTGTATAATCAGCTTCTTTGGATTTATGGTGAAGTATATAATATATATACATTGAGATGTAATATTATTATTTATAAGTATTCCCTTAAAGGTGCCATTTTTGCTTGCAGAAAGAAGACAAAGAATTTGACAGCTTGGCTGAAAAGTTTTACAGACTGGCAAATTTTGTTTCCCAGCTGGAAGAAAACTTAATAATATATGTAAGGAATGTGGAGGTAAGCATAGGCATATACAGTGGTGTTTCATTAGAATTTCAACAGAAATGAAATCATTAAGGTTGGTTCACAACAAGTGCATTTTTCTGCAAAAACTATTTTTTTTACATAGCTTATATCCAAAAATACACTGTTTTACAGTCTATTAGAAAAAGTGTTTTAAAGATGTAAAGTTGTGTGCCTAAAACTCATGCCAGACCATGTGTCCTGGAATGAATGGGCCATGAAGCTGCCCTAAGCTACTAGGGGCATGATTATTCTGCATTTTGGTATTCCCCATAGATATAATTCTTAAATGAGCTGTGTGTCTTTGTAAGGGGCAGATCATGGGTCCCATACCAACATTTTGATGAGGACAACCTCTATAGCACTTGGCAATGTCAATATGTGTGCTGATCTTAAAGTGGTTGTGAAGGCAGAAGGTTTTTTGGCCTTAATGCATTCTATGCAGTAAGATGAAAAACCTTCTGCATGCAGCTCCCAATACTTACATGAGTCTGATCTCGATCCAGCAATGTGCACGAGAACAAAGTCTCTCTCGGCTCTCTCACCCCTCATTGTCTCAGATACAGCAGCAGGAGCCATTGGCTCTTGCTGCTGTCAATCAGAGCTAGTGATAAGGAGTGGGGGCCGAGCCCCATTCTGTGTGTCTTATCAACACACAGAGTAAGGCACGAGAGCCCAAAGAGCTGGCGAGGGACCCAAAAAAAGGAGGATCAGGGCTGCTCTGTGCAAAACCATTGCTCAGAACAGGTAAGTATAACATGTTTGTTTTTTTAATATAAAAAAAACTTTTTACAATCACTTTAATATAAGGCAGGGGTGTCCAAACTTTTTTCAAAGAGGGCCAGATTGGATGAAGTGAACATGGTGGAGGGCCGAACATTTTTCCGAACATTCTTTGAACCATTACAATTAAATGCAAATAAATTATTTTATGCCAAGTTAATTGCAAACGACATACTTTTCATTTCATAACATTAAGATCAACTGACAGCTGAGTTTTCACAATGTATTGAAAATAAATTTAAAAAAAAAACTTACCTGCACTAATGTGAAGGGTGAAAAAGGTAGCTGGAGCTGAAGTCTCTGCTCGGCAGCCGGGAGGGGAAGAGAAACACACTTCACGCTGGAAGCCCGGCCCTGACGTCACTGCCCTCTGTCGCTCCCAGCGCGGCGCAGTCACGCATGCGCACTGCTCTCAAGCAGAAGACTGTCTGCCACAGAAGGGAGGCCGTGCGACAGCCGCATTTACACAGACCAGGGAGAACGCGCCGCAGTCAGGCATGCGCACTGTCCTCTGCTCTCAAGCAGAAGACTGTCTGCCGTAGAAGGGAGGGCCGTGGGAGGGCCACATTACACAGAGCAGGGAGGGCTGTTGGAGGGCCGTATTAAACCGACCCCTGGGGCGTAAATGGCCCGCGGGCCAGACTTTGGACATGCCTGATATAAGGTATGCCTAGCACAAGATTTTGTAGTAGCAATAATAATAACCATGGGGATATTTTATGTTATGGCACAATTGTTAATGGTTTTGCACACAATTTCTCTATATCCCCAATACAAACTCTTTAAACTGTCTTATCAGGTTTTAGCTGAGGAGACATGCTGAGATTTTAATTGCATTTGACATACAGGGTTAAGTTTAGAGTGGCTGGGCTAGTAGCTGAAGATATGGGGGTAATAAATCTACACTGAAAAGACACCTTAACAAATATTCCCCCATCTGTGACTAGTGGGTGATCCTTAAGCTCTTCCTGTGTGTTTGACAGTGGTTCTAGTCCAAGGCCTTCACAGTTTAATATTCCTTAACAGCCTTTCTAATTGGGCCCCTTCCCACTCCTCTGGTGTCTCTAAGATTTACAAATTATGATCAGTGGCGAACTGAACCTAAGGCTAGACAAACACTTGGCCCCTGCAACCTACATGTATTTTTCTTTGCTAGATCTTGTTATGTAGTAAATGCAAGACTGTAGCATCCACACTTGTTGCTCAATTACCTACATCAGACTGTCTGTAGGTCTAAACTGTACTTGTGATTTCAAATAGCTATACAGAGACCAGTAATGTCCACAGCTGATTGGACAATACTGCAACTGCTTTCAAAATGCTTAAGTATACTGCTAAGAGAAACCACATGGTCATATGTATGTGCAGGTATCCACCACTGATTACCCACTGCCCAGGACTGTACAGAGCCCTGGTTGTGTATGACCAGTTGCCTCTAGTCATATTTGCATTGTTCAGTTTGTAGGCAGGAGCCATCCGCTTTCTGCACTGTATTTGGCTCTTAACCAGAGTGGTGCCACGGCCTGGAGATGAAGTCAGGAGAAACCTAGTTTCTTTATGGTTTTCTGGTCCCTGAAGGCAGTGTTTTGGTTGGTTACACTGCGTTCAAGTGACTCCTTTTGCCATCTTGGGTCAGTGGGGCCTTTATAAGTCCTGATCTCTGAGTTTTGGCGTGCTTTTTGCAAAGTGGTCAGAGTAAGGAAAGATCACTCCTTTGTAAAGGAAAGTAATTGCGGCAGGGAAAGGTTCCTGATGAGTCAGAACAGACTAGAGACATGCATTCCTTTACCGAAGCCTCCCCATTGGGACCAGACCGGCCAGGCCACATTGCACCCTGTAAGCCAGACGCTGTTGGTGCATCCTACCTGTTGCCTCTCTGCAGTGAACTGTGAGTTCTATCCGATAAGGTGCTCTCCTGCTCTGGTTGAATATACTCTTCAAATTTTGAGTTATGTACAACCGGACTCTGTGTCATCAATGCCACTGCACCACGCTGCACCTACATACAAGTTTACTTTATAGTGATCTATAATTAATTAGGTGGGTAGCACATCTAAAAATTACTCCTGTAATCACTCATACACTTTAATATTTTATTTTGTAAAGCGCTACCTACAGTGATTACTACGCACGTTTTATGTAAGATGTCATGTATATTAATGAACCGGTCTTTTTGTATTTCGCAGACATTTCTCAGCATTCAGCCTCAGACATATCCACTGGAGTACTTGCAGAGCACAATGCATCCTTTGCAGGCCTTCTCACAGGAACTCTGCGACAATATATATCTGGTCTTTGTAAGTACTATGTTTGCTTTATTCATAATCTGACAGATTTTTTAAAGCTCGCATTACAAAATCCAGCCCTCAGAATCCTCTACATATATAAATTATGTAGCTAGATCCAAGTATCTCCTGCTAGCACTAAATTACAACTTTTACAGGAAAACCCATTTTACCAATGCAAAAAAAAAATACTAAGGTGAAGATGTGTAAAGCCTAATATCTAAAGTAAGCCACTCATAGATTGTATTCACATACTGCTGGAGTAACAAACTTTTTCAACAATTGTGCAGTTTGAGGATCCTCCTAAATAAATTTTGAATGGATTGCATGGATAGGACATATGACAGTTGGTAAATTTTGTGCATCTGGCAGGAACAATCTGAAGTCTGTTTAATGATGATTTTTACTTTAAAGAGACCATATCACCTATGTCCCACATGTAGGCAACCTGTTTTGCATGTACTTACAGAAGTGATATCTATTGCAGTTTTTTGAGCTACCAAAGCAGATATATCAATAGCGTTATTCTGATTTAAAAATCAACACTGAAGATTAGCAGGTCTTCAGACTTCTGAGCCGCTTCCAGCATAGCCACTTCCCTAGTCATCACAATGCTTTTTCAGTAAGTACAAAATCTCTCAGGACAAGCAGTGAAAGCCACTGTACGGTAACCAGGGACAATGGGGATACTATGCAGCAGCTTTTGCTGCTGACTTTGAGGGATTTGTGTACTTGGTGCAGGACCATTGTGATGGTATAGGGGCCAAGGCTGGGGGAACAGACATCTGAGTCTGATTATCCAACACTCTTTTGCAATGTTCATTTTCATCCAGAATAACAGTGGTGCAGAGAATATCAGCTTAAATTGTTGTAGCAGAGAGTGCTTTTGTAAAAACATGTAATACATATTGTCTGCGTATATTTAGTTGTCAGAATAGGGTGTGGTGACAGGGTCTCTTTTAATTTTTTTTTTTTGGTCTTGTGCCATGGAGCTTGTCCTATTTGTGAGTGCCGGTTAACATATATGCAGATTGGATGCGGTTTGAACCGCATCCAATCTGCATGACATGTGAAATAACATTGCTTCCTATGGTGCCTGTTCACATATGTCTGGTGCACTGGCAGTGCAGATTGAAAAAGAGTCATGCTTGATTTCTGAGCAGTACGGTCCGTTCAGGTACAGATTACAAGCTATTGACTTCTTAGGGAACCTCTTCTAAACCGCATATGTCATCAGTTGTGAACAGGATAAAATCCTGACCTGAATCTGATCTAAACCTGTCCTGAACCTGATGTAAACCTGACCTAAACCGCTGAACAACAACAGTATCAATTAACTGTGAAATGTGAGCTTCAATCCACATCACACAGGTGTGAATCAGCACTAAATGTCATGTTTAAGCTGCCATTTGGGTGGGTGGTTTGCTTTTGTGTAATAACTAACTTTTTTTTTTTGCACACTTCAAACACTATGCCTACAGGTTATAGAGGGTGTAAAATTAGTATCATTCTAAATTATGAATGGCTGTACTTATCTTGTGGATCACAAGAGTGCAGCTAGTTCAGCCGACAGTGGGCTAAAGATCGAAATAGCGCAGGGCATACATGACTAGGCCCAGAGTGGTGTAGGGAACGGAAAGGGTTAAAATTTAGCTCCAAGGGGTGGGGAATTGATTGGGAATTACGGGATTGGCAGATGTGGAGTGTAGGAGGGGTCTGTGGCACCGTAGGGTGGGGGTTGCTGCGGAAGGGGCGTCAGTGGAGCTGGATGTGTGCAAGGACCAGAGCTTCATTTGAGCTGGGTCCTGCTATTTCCCCCCATCGGACCGGTGCAGCATGGAGGAACTTCTGGCACAGCTGCGGGGTGGCGGCAGCTGACAGAGGTACGGACTGGTTGCAGGGCCGGGTCTCTGCTCTGCTGGGAGACCCGGGCTTGTCACCAGCTGCAGGGGGGCGGGTGCGCCCACATGCTCGGAGGTCTAGGCCTCCGGAGCGCTTCAGTCCGGCCCCGCCCCCTGTTGGAGCTCAGCGCCGCACTGGGAACCCCCCTCGGGACCCTCCGGCCCCGCTGGCAGGGCGCTCACTTGCCTCTGCTGGCGGAGGTGCCGGGAGGAATCCCCGGCGATGGCGGAGCTCGGCGGGCGGGGTTGCGCTGAGTGGCCTCTCCCCCCCCCGCCCGCACGGCAAGGAGGAAGCAGAGTGAGCTCGGCGGGCGGGGTTTCGCGGGTAGCCCCTCCCCCCCGCCCGCACGGCGCAGAGGAGGAAGACTGAGCATGGGTGCCGGCTCCTCCGCTGACAGGCTGTCTGTCAGGGAGGGAGCTCGACGAAGGAGACGTTCAGCTGCGGCTGCCGGGCTGTCCCCTGATGCGGCTGGTGGGCCCCCTGGACAGTCGGGAGCTGGGGCTCCTGGAAGAAGGCGGAAGCGGTGCAGCGCTGGGCGGAGTGCAGCTGGGAGTGCTGCAGGACGGAGCCCAGGGACGGCGGCGGGCATGGCTGGTGCCCAGAGGCGGAGTCGCGAGCGGCACAGCCCTGCAGGACCCGTGGCTCCTGGGAACGGGAGGCCATCCGGACGTCGAGCGGTGGACGAGAGGTCGGAGGGCGAGCTGTCGGAACCCGATGCGGGGGCGACGGCTCGCCGCTCTTCATCGGTGGAGCGGGAGCACGCGGCTGATGGGACCTCTCCTGGGCAGCCTGGTGAGTTATCTGTTCCTGTGTCTGTCTCCCTTTCTTCTGCGTTGCGGGATCTGCTGGGGGGCGGTCAGGCCGCCCCTGTGGGGGCGGCCTCGGCGGCGTGCGTTGGCGGCGTTCCCCGTCAGGTTTAGGTGGGCGTCTCGGGGAGGTGGTTTCCGGTTTGCGGGACTTGTTGCGGCGGCTGGAGTGGGGCGGTGTTGGGACCCCTGGGCCTGCTTCTGCGTGGCTCCCGCCGGCCGGTGGGGACGGGCTCGCGGTTCCTGGACAGGACTGCGGGGTGGTGCGGGCCCTAGGGGTCTCTTCTCCGCTTAGTTCTGGGACTGGGGTGGTTACCGCGGAGTCTGGGGTTCTGGGCTCCGCGGTTCTTTCCGCGAGTTTGGGGGAGGGTTCCGGGGTGTCCGGACCTGTCGGCGTGGCGGACTCTGCGAAGGGGGAGGTGTATGTGTGTTTTGAGGGCCCCTTGGGTGCGCATTTACAGTCTGCCGTGCGGGAACAAATTTGGAAAGGGGAGTATGTGGACATTTTCACGCTCTTGCCTTTGGAGCGTTTTCCGTTCGATGGGTCCCGGGTTGATGACGGTAGAAAGGGAGGATGCGGAGCGGCGGCGTTTTCGGCTTATCCCCCGTACTTTTGCGAATTGGTTGCAGGCTTTTGCAATCATGGCCAGTGTTATTGGGGAGAAAGCTCCGGAGCATTGCTCGGCGTTGTTCTGTTACCTGGACGCAATTAGTGAGGCTCACAGGGTTTACGGCGGGTCTGCGTGGCTTCGGTACGATGAGCAGTTTAGGCAGCGGAGGGCTGTTTGCCCGTCTTTGCGTTGGGACCACAAGGACATTGGCCTCTGGATGCGGCTCATGGCGCCGCCGAGGGCTCCTGGTCCGTTTTTTTCAGGGCGGGGCCGGTGGTTGTTTTCCCCGGGACAATCGGCCGCCAAGCGTAGGGGTTTCTGCTGGCAGTTCCAGGAGGGCACTTGTCGTTTTGGAGGGTCCTGCAGGTTTAGGCACGAGTGTTCCGGGTGCGGTGGATCCCACCCTTTCTCGCGCTGTTTCAGGTGGGGTAGAGGCCCTCCCGGAGAGCCTGCGGGTAAGAGGGACGACGCCGGTGCGGGTGGAAAGGATGGAGCCTTTCTTAAATAGATATCCTGATCGGGCTGCGGCGGTGCTGCTGGCGGCAGGTTTTTCGGAGGGTTTTTCGCATCCCCTGTACTTTGACTTTGGTCCCCCCCTTAGCTCGGAATTTACGGTCGGCCTTGCAGCATGCTGAGTGGTTTCGGCTAAGTTGCGGAAGGAAGTGGGGTTGGGTCGTATGGGTGGTCCGTTTACTTGTGCTCCGTTTGGGGATCTGGTGGTTTCTCCCTTGGGGGTTGTGCCTAAGAAGGAGCCGACTGCGTTTCGGTTAATTCACCACCTGTCCTTCCCTAAGGGGGGGTCGGTGAATGACGCTATAGATCCGGAGTCGTGTTCGGTGTCTTACACGTCCTTTGATGCGGCAGTGTTCTGGGTTCGTCGGTATGGGCGCGGTGCACTCATGGCTAAGTCCGACATTGAGTCGGCGTTCCGGCTGTTGCCGGTTCATCCGGACAGTTTTCGTTTTTTTTGGGTTGCCGTTGGCAGGGCGCGTTTTACGTTGATAGGTGTTTGCCCATGGGGTGTTCTGTATCTTGTGCGTTGTTTGAAAAGTTCAGTTCGTTCGTGGAGTGGGTGGTTCGGGATGTTTCGGGGGTGAATTCGGTCATCCATTATTTGGATGATTTTCTTTGCGTGGGTCCGCCAGCTTCCGGGGGGTGTGCGCGGTTTTGCTTGCTACGTTGCAGCACGTTGCTGACCGTTTCGGGATTCCTTTGGCGGCTGACAAGACGGAGGGTCCGGCTTCGGTGATGACTTTCTTGGGCATCGTTTTGGATTCTGGCGCAATGGAGTGCCGGCTGCCGGCAGAGAAGCTGTTGGCCCTTCAGGGTGAAATTCGCGCGGTTCAGGGGAAGCGTAAAATTCAGCTGCGGCCCTTGCAGTCATTGTTGGGAAAACTTAATTTCGCTTGTTGGATCCTGCCGATGGGTCGGGTGTTCTGCCGCCGTTTGGCGGCGGCGACGCGGGGAATTGCCTCCCCTTTTCATTTCATTCGGCTGACTCGGGAGCATCGGGAGGATTTGCAGTTGTGGCACACCTTTTTGGAGTCTTTCAATGGGCGGGCGCTTTGGATGTCGGCCCGGTTAGTAATTTTGACTTGGAACTGTTCACGGACGCGGCGGCTTCTGCGGGATACGGGGCCTTTTTCCGGGGTCGGTGGAGTGCGGCCTCGTGGCCGGCTTCCTGGCGGGAGGCAGGTTTTCTCAGTAACCTAGCGCTGTTGGAACTTTTTCCAGTGGTATTGGCGGTTGAGGTTTGGGGGGAGAATTTTCGGAATCAAAAGGTGCGTTTTCACTGCGACAATTTGGGGGTGGTTCAGGTCATCAATAGGGTCTCGGCTTCTTCCCGACCGGTGGTGGCCCTGCTTCGCCACTTAGTGTTGCGTTGCTTGCAGCTGAATGTTTTTCTCCATGCGGTACATCTCCCTGGGGTTGACAACACCTTAGCTGACGCTTTGTCTCGTTTTCAGTGGGACAAATTCCGAGAGTTGGCGCCGGCGGCGGAGCGACACGGGGTTCCTTGTCCCGACTGGCTGTGGGAGATTGCCTTGGAGTCGTTGCGGGCTGGATCCGGCGGTCGGTGAGTGAGGCGACTTGGTCCGCTTACTCTACGGTCTGGCGGGAATGGCTGGAGCTGTTGCGACTGGTCGCTATTGATCCCTGGGGGCCGGAGGTGCGTGTGGCAGTGTTGTACTTCTTGGCGCGGAGTTTGGAGCGGGGGGGGGTGTCGGCGTCCGCGGTGGATCGCCGACTAGCGGCATTGGCGTTTTTCTTTAAGTTGCAAGGGTGTCGGGATTTTACTAAGGATTTTTGGGTTCGACAGGCTCTGCGGGGTTATCGGAGGGCTCATCGTTGTAGGGATTCTCGTCGTCGGTGTCGTTCGCGTTGTTGGGGTCTTTGTTTGAGCATTTGCGGACTGTGTGTTCTTCGGATTTTGAGGTGGATTTATTTCGGGCTGCCTTTGCGGTGTTTTTTTTTTTTGGGGCTTTGCGGATTGGGGAGCTCGTTAGTCCGTCCAAGTCGGTTCTTGGGGGGTTGTTGGTGGAGGAGGTTGTGTGCTCCGGTGATTGGGTGGAGGTTCTGGTCCGTCGGTCTAAGACGGATCAATTGGGCAGGGGTGCGAAGGTGCGTTTTTTTTTCGCTCTTCCGGGTTCACTGGTGTGCCCTGTTCAGGCGGTTCGGGTTTTTTTTTGTCCCGTCGCCCTGGGGGGGGCGGGGGTCCTTTTTCAGGCATGTTGATGGATCCCCTTTAACGCGTTTTTAAATTTGTGGCAGTTTTTCGCCGGTGTTTGACGGCTGCTGGTTTAGATGCGTCTTTGTATGCTTCGCACTCGTTTCGGATCGGGGCTGCTACGGAGGCGGCCAGGTGGGGGCTGTCGGAGGATGTGGTGAAGCGCATTGGTAGGTGGGATTCCCAGAGATTTCGCCTGTACGTTCGGCCGCAATTGTTGTGGGCTTGGGCGGTGGGCGGTCCTGTGTTTTGTTTGTTTGGGTTGTGGGAGGTAGTTGCGGTTCTGTCCCTGTGCTGTATTGTTCTGGCGGTATTGTTTCTTTTCTTTCAGGTGGAGCAGTGTGCCTGGTGTGGATCCTGGGTCACTCGTATGTGTTTTGGGGGGCCAGGCGGGCTGATGTTCGGCCCAATGGCAGGCAGCTGGGGTTGGATAGACGGGAGGTTTGTGTCCGCTGGTTAGGTGTGCCGGGCATGTTGTGGAGTCGTGTCGTGCCAGAGGTGCGGCGTTTTGCGCGGCTGGATAGGCCACCGGATGTGTTGGTGATTCACGCGGGTGGCAACGATTTGGGGGGTAGGTCCATGCGGGAGCTGGTTAGAGATGTCAAGCTGGATTTTCTTCAGTTGCGGCGTGAGTTTCCGGGGATGGTGGTGGTGTGGTCTGACATGGTCGCCCGCACTTCTTGGCGCTTGGCGCGGTCGGTGGGGCGGCTCAACAAGGCCAGGATTAAGGTCAACCGGGAGGTGGGGCGCTTTTTTAGTCGCAATGGAGGATTGGTGGTCCGGCATGTGGAGTTGGAGGTGGATACTTGGCGGTACCTTCGCAGTGATGGAGTGCATTTGAATGCGGTGGGCACGGATTTGTGGTCCCTGGAGCTGCAGGACGGCATACTACGGGCGGTTCGTTTGTGTGGCGTGGCACGCATGGGTAAGGGCTTACCCAGCGTGCTGTGGCGGTTGTTGGTCTTTGGAGGCGGTTCTCATCTTGGAAGGAAAACAATGGTGTGGGACCCCATCCGTGGTATGGGGGGCCCGGTGGATATTCCCAGTTAACCAAGGTTTAACTGGAAGGTGGTGGTGCTGCACTGCGGACGGTATGGTTGTCTCCGAGCTGGTTGGTTGCGGCTGGAGGCCTAGTGTATAGGGTTGTCCGCAGGTGCATTTTGGATCGTTTGTGGGTGCCTTTGAAGACCAACAACAATTCTTTGGTTTCCGTTAAGGAACGGTTGATGATGTTAAAATGTGAAGTTGTTAATAAAAGGCCATGTTGGCCATTTACTCCAAATGGTGTCATGTTTTTTGTAAAGTTTATTTGGTTAAGGGGGGTTTGGAGTGGTATGGATAGGCAATGGTGGAAGTAGGAGTGGACAAGCCTATCTATGGTGCATTAGTCAAGAAATGCCCGTAGCGAATAGGGAAGAATGGAAATAGCGCAGGGCATACATGACTAGGCCCAGAGTGGTGTAGGGAACGGAAAGGGTTAAAATTTAGCTCCAGGGGGTGGGGAATTGATTGGGAATTACGGATTGGCAGATGTGGAGTGTAGGAGGGGTCTGTGGCACCGTAGGGTGGGGGTTGCTGCGGAAGGGGCGTCAGTGGAGCTGGATGTGTGCAAGGACCAGAGCTTCCCTCCCGCCCTCCCTGTTAGGTTGGGTATAGGGTCTTATCCGGGGGCAGGTGAGCAAGAAAAAAAAAACAAAAAAAAAAAAAAAAATGTGACACTGGTTGTGAGGTGGGTTTTTCTGTTGGTTCGTGGGCGGTTGTTGGTCTTTGGAGGCGGTTCTCATCTTGGAAGGAAAACAATGGTGTGGGACCCCATCCGTGGTATGGGGGGCCCGGTGGATATTCCCAGTTAACCAAGGTTTAACTGGAAGGTGGTGGTGCTGCACTGCGGACGGTATGGTTGTCTCCGAGCTGGTTGGTTGCGGCTGGAGGCCTAGTGTATAGGGTTGTCCGCAGGTGCATTTTGGATCGTTTGTGGGTGCCTTTGAAGACCAACAACAATTCTTTGGTTTCCGTTAAGGAACGGTTGATGTATGTTAAAATGTGAAGTTGTTAATAAAAGGCCATGTTGGCCATTTACTCCAAATGGTGTCATGTTTTTTGTAAAGTTTATTTGGTTAAGGGGGGTTTGGAGTGGTATGGATAGGCAATGGTGGAAGTAGGATCCCTCTACTGGCAAATATATTTAAATATATATAATTCTGGTTTTAGTATAGTAACAAAAATCTGAAAGCAAAAACTTTGTAAAATATTGTGAATGTGTCATTGAAACATGCACTCAGAGAAAAGACACTATTCTTTTACTTAACTTGGATATATATTAAAATATGTTGTATTAAGTAGTGGTTTCGGGTAATTACACTGCAGAAGCATGTGGCTTAATGCTGGTTTAATAGTGCGGTAATGACTAAGCCAATGGAGACAATAACCTTTTGTGGGGAACGGGGCTTTGATTCAAGTTACTATCGCTGGGCTGTTATCGGCATCAGCAACAAGAGAAAACATATAGATAAATGAGATTATTAAATTTTTTTTCTGATTGCAGAAGAGAAGGGTGCAGTTACTGGTCCTTCAGCCTATAAGTAACCTTTCAGAATGCTTAAAGGGACCAAAGAATCTGATCAGGAAAAGAGCAGACAAACTTTTGGACTATGAAAACCTGGAGGAGAAATATAGTGAGACTGGTAAAATGACATGGGAAGAGGAGGATATTATGAACAACTATAAGAGCATCCATTCCATGCTCATGTCTGAATTGCCGCAGTGTATCTCCCTGTCCTGGCAGTGGCTTAAAAGCATCTTGCTTACCTTCATGGCCTTGCAGAAAGATTTGTTCGATCAAGGACAGCATGTAGCAGAAACTCAAGCTTCACAGGTAAGTACCTTCTAAGCTGCTGGGTTCACTGATCATCATAAATAAAGAAAACCTAATCATTTATATCATAATGAATTTACTTATTGAGTTAGGCATGAAAAAAGAATTCCAGGTATGGATATGTTTATACATACTTACAAGGGTCCAACTCAGACCAATGTACAGTGGATATAGATATAGATTTTATTGCTTAGCGGCCTGAAATGAAGACAGACACTTTTGTTTTATCCAGCTGTATTTACAACATCCAAGTGAAAGATATAACACCAACATGTTGGAAAAAAAAACAGAACTACTGAGTTGGAAAAAGAATCACCCCCTAGTGTCAATATTTTGTTGAACCACCTTTTGCTTTAATTACAGCCTTTAGTCTGTTGGGGTATGTCTTTACTAACTTTGCACATCTAGACTTTGCAATATTTGCCAACTCTTCTTTGCAGAACTTCTCAAGTTCGGTTAAATTTTTAGTGACCATTTGTGGACTGCAGTCTTCAAGTCATTGCACAGATTTTCATTAAATATGAGGTTGGCCATTAATTAGTTCCCACCACCCCACTGAGTGCAACCCACCTGGTAGTGTACTTACCTTCAGCCCAGATCAAGTGATTTTCACTTTTCAGTCCAGCCTGCACTGCATTTGAAAGAAAAACCTACGCTGACTCTTCTCTGTGCAAGAGCACCATGGCCCTATTCAATCCTGTGGGATGACTCTGCCCATTGGCAGCCTCCAGCACTTCCAAAGAAATGAATGGGGCTGCTGTGCTCATGTGCAATGTGATAGCGTACCTAAACCCAAAAGCAAAAAAGTATTATTTTGCAGTTTACCAATCCTTAAAGTGGAACTAAAGTGAACATTTAAAAAACTGAGAGCAGGCAGACATTTTTTCTTAGAAGAGATATGCTCTGTCACTTTTGCGATAAAATAAAATTATATTACTGTTTGCTGTCCTCTGTAGAATGTACACTATATTGCATATGCACAGCTCCATTTATAATCTCAGTGTGGTGTCTTGATGCTGGGAAGAATTAACTTCTGTACAAGTGCTGGAGTTACATCATCCCACATCGGCCAATCAAGACAGCCAAAGATCCAGCACATGGAGAAGATGCTGGCTCTGGGGAGGGACCTTGCGAACATTGGATCATTAGAGAGATGTGCAGAGTTTTGTACAACCTTAAAGGTGGTAGCTTCTCCTTCTTCCCATTAGGGTCACATGACAGGGAGAGACAGGAAGAAGTCCAGTCTGCCATCACTCCCCCCTCAGTGGTGCCACTCTGAGACTGAGGTGCATTTTTAGTGTCTCAGCTCCTGCTCTCTTCTGCCTACAATAGGCTGCTATTGGAAAGAGGAGAGAGCAGAATCCTCCTTCCAGCAGCTATTGGGCTCCTGCTCCTTATTACAGAAGTGACCCTGCAGACACTCCTGTCAGTGAGTCGCAGAAGAAGAAGAAGCGCAGGAGAAGCTCCCAGCATGCCCCCCAGGGGTGTTGCTAGGATTGAAAAAGATCTTGGTCACTCCAAGGAGAGCTGTAATGCAATGTGCTGTGCATGCCTCAGAGAATGATAGTTGTGGTCAAACTGTTAATCGTGGGAGGGGCTTAAGAGGCTTGGTTAAACAAAATCCAAGTTTCCTTATACCTTATAAACTATACTTTGATTGCTGTGCCCCATGTAAGAGTCTCAAAAAACACATCAGGGATGTTGAATTCATATCACCCAATGCCCGGGACATGTAGTTCCGGGTGCCAGGCAGGTAGTTTTTTTTAATCCTTAGCCCTGCTGTGGGTGAGCAGCAGTTGTCCCCTATGTGATCAAAAAAAAAAAAGTGAAAAAAAAAGGTTTTTTTTTTTTTAAATTGTAAAAAATTTAAGTTACAGCCAAGCACATAACATCCCCTCCAAAAACCAAATTGAGGCCCCCTCCACCCCCACATATACGCACGTACAAACGTTAAAGCACACGCTGGGGTGCCTACACACGAAAACATTGATTTCGATACATGTTACATATCGGCGCACACGCCAGAATGAGAGCAAATAATTATATTCTCTAGGGTCTCTGATTTCAGAAAATATATAATGTTTGGGGGTTTTGTGCAATCTTCAGGCCTAAAATTATTTTTTTAAACGTGTACAAAAAAACGCAAAAACAGCTCTGGCAGCGAAAGGGATAAAGGATAAGCCTGACACTCCCCTTTCCTGACGAGCAGCCAATCGGTGCTCATTACACTGCTCCCTGCTAGTTCCTGAGTGCGGTGCTGGAGACGGGCAGGGAGAGGAGGAGGAGATAAATGTTTAATATTTTGAACATTGCACTGTTTAAGTTGCCATAAACCCCCTTTGTTTTTAAAAGCCCCAGACATTCCTAAAAGTATCTCAGATTTAAATACAGTTTTGGTTCAAATTTCTTTATTTTTTATGTAGAAAAGTAGATTGTCATGAGGGACAAGTAAATTGGAACCCCCAATGTAGTCAATTCCCAAAATTTCAACAGCCCTGCACCTATACATCTCAGCACAATAATTAAAAGAAAAAAAAAAACTCTTCCATTACATAGGCTTTTGTGCACACTGAAAATAGTCAGAGATCTAACACTTTGTCTTAGCCTACCTTAGAGAAGCAACCAGCAACTGTTGAGACAATGAACACTTTGGTGAGACGTATGTAAAGTCCATTATGGTGCAGAAGTTGCTGGGGTCTTTCAAGGAACATGCAAGGGTAAGGGGTGTAAAATACATGGAGTGCAAGGGTCAGGAGTACACAATGCAAGTTCTACAAGCTATGTTTAGGAGTACATAACAGGGGTCATATGGCAGAGGTCAATATATAATACACAGAATGCGGGGAACAAGAGTGTGTAATATACAGTAGAAGTCAGGAATGTGAAACAAAAAGAGAATAGGAGTCAGGAGTTTGGTAAAACTCTTCACTAATTTGCCACTTACTTAGTAACTCCAGCACCTTGAGCTATTATTGGGTTTTGCACCAAATGTTTTATCACTGAAGATTCAAGGCACCATACTTTTTTTACTTTTTGCATTCTTCTATCTAGTTGCTGTCAAGGCAACATCAAACTGACATCTTAATAAGATAAATGGCTAGCACTGATCCATCAAAGATGTGAGATTATTTTAGGATGCTACCATCTGTCATGCTCTTAAGAACATCACATACGTAAAAATATTTGACAACTCATTTTGTACCAAGAGCAATACTTCTGCTATACATTGTATTATTCATAAAACAAAATAGACATTGATTGTCACATGAAAGGAGAGAGAGGAGCACACACCCCATAGTGTAGCATGAATATAAGAAGGTTTAATGGACTAAATAAAATCATTGGCTACACTCACAAAAAAACTGTGGGGTATAGTCTGGTCAAGTGGCTTGGAGGATAAGTTCTGAGTCAAAGTATGAATTATGCCAGATCCCGGCTTGGGTACCAGCTGGGGAAAGTGTGGGCTTACATTTAAATGGCACAAATGGATGGAGCCGCTGCAAGTTCTGGAGTCTTAGAGCCAAAAACCTCCTGCTGTCACCACTGTGTACCCTAATATGCAAGGACGCATTTCAAAGCAATCCTGCATCTTTTTCATTACACTCACACAATCCTTTTTAGGCTCTGACAATTGTCCAGTTAGTGGAGAGCCCTCTTGGGCTCATTACAGCTATTTAAACTACAGGTGACATTTTCCGGGTGGTGGGCACAGTATGTTAGAGGTTTTCCTGTGTCACTATCCACATTGATTGTCACATTATTTTCACTCTAACATTCAAGAAAACTTTAGTGAATCACTACATAAAGCTGCATTTATTTACATGTGTTTATAGATGCAATGTAGCATGGCCGCAGAGGCAAACTTCAAGAGATGGGTAGATGATGGAATCAGCCAAATGGTTTCTCAGCTCAGTGAATTCATCCAAAAATTTGAGGAGGAATCATTACCACCACCAACACAGGTAAACATTTTATTTTTTTTTTTTATTAGCTACAAATCAGAATATGGTAAGACGCAGTACGTTCAGACATTTATTACCATTGTATATAGTTCCTTCTGTTAATGTGATGTTCATTGACACATCTTTAGACCTTAGGCTCCATGTACAGGGGTCGTTTGGAAAACTCTTCTGAATGATGGAAACTGACTGCTAGAAAACGTAGGTTAAAAAATGTCTGTTTAGCCGCGTATGCATACCGCGTTTATGAGCGTTTATGAGCGTTTGCGTTTAGAAGCGTTTTTTAAACATAACCTCAGGAGACCTTCCCAAATGCCCAGAATGCACTGAAAAACAGTAAAAATTAACTATTTCAGACATTTTGAGAGAAATAGAGCAGAAGCAGAGAGAGCAGTATGTGTTGAGATGACCTGTCTTTTCTGGTTGTATTCACTATGGATTCCATCATGAGCATAATGCGGCGCGTTCTACCAATTCTTCCTTCATACAAAACCTGGAACTGACTGAGCTGGTGTACCGGGTCCATTTGAATACATGGAAAACACTTCATGCATTTCTGATGATGAAAAAAGGTTCTGGACAGCATCTGAATATGGAACAGTTAAAAAACGCTTCTAAACACAAACGCTTATAAACGCAGTTAGCCGCGTTTACAAGCATTTGGCGTTTAAAACGCTGATAAACTCTACTGAACGCAAGTTTGGTGCGTTCAAAAAAACGACTGTAAACTCAACTGCCTGTAAACGACTGTAAACGACATAGTGTACATAGACACATAGGAAAACATTAGGGAGAGTTCAGGGGCTGCTGAAAAAAATGCAAAAAAGCTCCTGAACATGAGTTTATCAGCTGCAGTGTACATGGAGCCTTAGCTGTTTAGCACACATATACACTAATTCCATGACCTTCCATGTAGTAGTGTCATACTCCACGCCTTTTGTACCGTGAAGGTGATTACTTCTCAAGAGAATAGACAGTAGAGCTCTGAGTGGATATAATAATCACACTAATCATAATCAGACTATCAATGGTGTTTTATTCATGATGAGCTTTGAAAACAAGGCTTACCTAAGTAAGAGCGGTCTACAAAAAGATTTTTAACTCTATTTATTAAGAATTTCAAAAACTACATGACATCTCTTTCTCCCCCTCCCTCTCCCCCCCTTCTCTCCCTCTCTTCCTCCCTCCCTCTCTCCCTCCCCCTCTCTCCTCCATTTCTGACAGATAATGCACCACTTTGCCCAGAAAATTGTTGCAATTATAAATGTTTAAGCGTTGTCATGTTTATTTCTTTTGTTTGTATTGTTATGACACAAAAAGGTGGAGGAACAAAAAACTAAATCTGACACATTCCACGCAAATCCCCAAAAAGTAACTGGACAAAATTATTGGCACCTTCTCAAAATTATAAGAAATAATTGCATTCCAAGTTTGTGATGTTCCTGTGATTTGTAATAAAACTCACCTGTATCAAGCTCCTGTAACAGATGTTAAAGTGTTACTAAACCCACAACAGTAAAATCAGTCTGTATATGCAGTAAAGCATGCTTGTTATACTCACTGTGGAATCTAAGGGGTTATTCCATCACATTGTGTAAAAAGGCTGTTTTATTCTGTCTTCTCTGATCCTCCCCTTCTTCTACTGTCCCCATCCATCTGCTGATAGAACAGAGCCTTGGTAGCAAGCTGCACATGCTCAGTTTGTTGTATATTACTAGAAAGTTTTTTTTTCTTGGTAGAGTGCATGTGATCAGCACAGAATCAGCGCTGTCCAGACTGAGGGTCAGGGGTCCTGCAGTCTTATAGGACAATCAGGGATGAATGAAATCTCCTACAAGCTTTAACTAGTGCTCTGCAGGACACTGATAAAAGTCACAAGACTGCTCTAACTGCTGATGAGAAAAGGTTTTTAGCAGTTTATATTTACTAAAATAATTGCATTTTCATGTTCTGTGTACTGTGGGGGACCAGATATAGTGAATGCAGGGGTTTAGTAACACCTTAATGTTCCTGTGTCCACTGTGTACAACATTGTCAAGAAATGTACAGCCTATGGCACTGTAGCTAATCTCCCTGGCCATGGACAAAAGAGAAAAACTTGATCAAAGATTGTAATGAAGGATTGTTGCATAGTGGCTAAAGAACCTCTATTAACTTCCAGACAAATTCAAGCTGACCCTTTAGGCACACACGACAACTGTGTCAGCTCGCACTATGCGTTGCCATCTGAATGAAAAGGGACGTTATGGTAGGAGACCCAGGAGGACCCCACTGCTGCCAAAACTTACCCAAGAAAGCCAAAATCCTTTTGGGAGAATGTGCTGTGGACAAATTGGTTTTTGGTAAAACCCATCATTTTAATATTTTCAGAAAAAGCAATGAGGCCTTTAAAGAAAGGAAAGGAATACAGTCTCTGCAGTCAAACATGGTGGTGATTCACTGATGTTTTGGGGTTGCTTTGCAGCTTTAGGCACTGGATGTCTTGACCGTGTGCATGGCATTATGAAATCTGAAGACTACCAAAGAATTCTGGGGTGCAATGTAGGACCTGGTGTCAGAAAGTTGGGTCTCCGTCAGAGGTCATGTGTCTTACAGCAGGACAATGACCCAAAGCACACATCAGAAAGCACCCAGAAATGGTTTAAGACCAAGAACTGGAGAGTACTGAAGTGGCCGGCAATGAATCCCTTAGAGCACCTGTGGAGAGATCTCAAAATAGTAGTTGGGAAAAGGAGAGGTGCAAGAAACTTGATGGTTATAGAAAGCGATTGATTTTTGATTAATTTTTCCAAGGAGTGTGCTACCAAATATTAAATTGAGGGTGCCATTAATTTTGTCCAGCCAATTTTTGCGATTTTTGCATGGAATATACCAGATTTGGCTTTTTGTTAATCCACTTTTTTTTGTGTCATAACAATGCAAACAAAAGAAATAAATATGAGAATGCCAAAACAATTTTCTGGGCGAAGTGGTTCATAATTATCTGACAGAAATGCAGGGGTGGAAATATTTTAGACCATGACTGTATATACAGTATACTATACATACACTATATTGCCAAAAGTATTGGGACACCCCTCCAAATCATTGGATTCACATGTTCCAATCACCTCCATGGCCACAGGTGTACAAAATAAAGTACCTAGGCATGCAGACTACTTCTATAAACATTTGTGAAAGAATGGGTCACTGTCAGGAGCTCAGTGAATTCAAGCATGGTACCGTGATAGGTTGCCACCTGTGCAATAAGTCCATCCATGAAATTTCCTTGCTACAAAATATTCCATGGTCAAGTGTTAGTGGAAGCAACTGGGAACAACAGCAACTCAGCCACAAAGTGGTAGGCCATGTAAAATGATATAGCGGGGTCAGCGCATGCTGAAATGCACAGTGCGCAGAAGTCAGCAACTGTCTGCAGAGTCAATAGCTAAAGACCTCCAAACATTGTGTAGCCTTCAGATTAGCACTACAACAGTGCATAGAGAGCTTCATGGAATTTGTTTCTATGACCGAGCAGCTGCATCCAAGCCTTATATCACCAAGTGACACAAAGCGTTAGATGCAGTGGTTTAAAGCAATCCGCCACTGGACTGTAGAGCAGTGGAGATGTGTTCTCTGGAGTGACGAATATTGCTTCTCTGTCTGGCAATCTGATGGACATGTCTGGGTTTGGCGGTTGCAAGGAGAAAAGTACTTGCCTGACTGCATTGTGCCAAGTGTAAAGTTTGGTGGAGGGGGGATTATGGTGTGGGGTTGTTTTTTAGGGGCTGGGCTTGGACCCTTAGCTCCAGTGAAGGGAACTCTTAAGGCATCAGCATACCAATTTCATGCTCCCAACTTTGTGGGAACAGTTTGGGGCTGACCCCTTCCTTTTCCAACATAACTGCGCACCAGTTCACAAGGCAAGGTCCATAAGGACATGGATGAGCGAGTTTGGGGTGGAGGAACTTAACTGGCCTGCACAGAGTCCTGACCTCAACCAGATAGACACCTTTGCTATGAACTGGAGCCGAGACTGCGAGCCAGGTCTTCTCATTCGACATCCATGCCTGTCCTCACAAATGCGCTTCTGGAAGAATGATCAAACAATTTTTACTTGCCTGACTGCATTGTGCCAAGTGGAAAGTTTGGTGGAGGGCGGTTTATGGTTTGGGGTTATTCTTCAGGGGTTGGGCTTGGACCCTTAGTTCCAGTGTGGAGAACTCTTAAGGCGTCAGCATACCAAGACATTTTGAACAATTTCATGCTCCCAACTTTGTGGGAACAGTTTGGGGATGGCCCCTTCCTGTTCCAACATGACTCCGCACCAGTGTACAAAGCAAGGTCCATAAAGACATGAATGAGCGAGTTTGGGGTTGGAGGAGCTTGATTGACCTCAACTCGAAAGAACACCTTTGGGATGAATTCATCAGTTCATTCAACATCAGTGCCTGACCTCACAAATGCACTTCTGGAAGAATGGTCAAACATTCCCACAGACTCACTCCTAAACCTTGTGGACAGCCTTCCCAGAAGAGTTGAAGCTGTTATAGCTGCAAAGGGTGGGCCCCTTTTGAACCCTACGGGCAGTTTTGGGACGGCATCCTCCTGTTCCAACATGACTGCGCACCAGTGCTCAAAGCAAGGTCCATAAAGACATGGATGAGCGGGTGTGGGGTGGAGGAACTTGACTAGCCTGCACAGAGTCCTCACTTCAATCCGATTAGAACATCTTTGGGATGAATTAGAGCGGAAACTGCAAGCCAGGCCTTCTCATCCAACATCAGTGCCTGACCTCACAAATGCGCTTCAGGAAGGATGGTCAAAAATTTCCCATAGACACACTCCTAAACCTTGTGGACAGCCTTCCCAGAAGAGTTGGAGCTGTTATAGCTGTAAAGCAGTGGTTCTCAACCTTTCTAATGCCGCGACCCCTTAATACAGTTCCTCATGTTGTGGTGACCCCCAACCATAAAATTATTTTCATTGCTACTTCATAACTGTAATTTTGCAGTGGGAGGAGTAGTGCCATGTCATTGGTGTCAGTGGAAGGAGTAGTGCCCCATCACTGATGTCAGTGGGATGAATAGTGCCCCATTGTTGGTATCAGTGGGAGGAATAGTGCCCCATCGTTGGTATCAGTGGGAGGAATAGTGCCCCATCACTGATGTCAGTGGGATGAATAGTGCCCCATCATTGGTATCAGTGGGAGGAATAGTGCCCCATCGTTGGTATCAGTGGGAGGAATAGTGCCCCATCATTGGTGTCAGTGGGATGAATAGTGCCCCATCACTGGTGTCAGTGGGGGGAATAGTGCCCCATCACTGGTGTCAGTGGGAGGAATAGTGCCCCATCACTGATGTCAGTGGGATGCATAGTGCCCCATCGTTGGTATCAGTGGGAGGAATAGTGCCCCATCACTGAAGTCAGTGGGATGAATAGTGCCCCATCACTGGTGTCAGTGGGAGGAATAGTGCCCCATCACTGGTGTCAGTGGGAGGAATAGTGCCCCATCACTGGTGTCAGTGGGAGGAATAGTGCCCCATCGTTGGGTGTCAGTGGGAGGAATAGTGCCCCATCGTTGGTGTCAGTGGGAGGAATAGTGCCCCATCGTTGGTGTCAGTGGGAGGAATAGTGCCCCATCGTTGGTGTCAGTGGGAGGAATAGTGCCCCATCGTTGGTGTCAGTGGGAGGAATAGTGCCCCATGTCAGTGGGGGTTGGTGCCCCATCAGTAGGGCCCCATCGTTGGTGTCAGTGGGAGGAATAGTGCCCCATCGTTGGTATCAGTGGGAGGAATAGTGCCCCATCATTGGTGTCAGTGGGAGGAATAGTGCCCCATCATTGGTGTCAGTGGGAGGAGTAGTGCCCCATCATTGGTGTCAGTGGGGGGAGTAGTGCCCCATCATTGGTGTCAGTGGGGGGAGTAGTGCTCCATCACTGGTGTCAGTGGGGGGGGGAGTAGTGCCCCATCACTGGTGTCAGTGGGAGGAGTAGTGCTCCATCACTGGTGTCAGTGGGAGGAATAGTGCCACATCATTGGTGTCAGTGGGAGGAATAGTGCCCCATCATTGGTGTCAGTGGGGGGAGTAGTGCCCCATCATTGGTGTCAGTGGGGGGAGTAGTGCCCCATCATTGGTGTCAGTGGGAGGAATAGTGCCCCATCACTGGTGTCAGTGGGGGGAGTAGTGCCCCATCACTGGTGTCAGTGGGGAGTAGTGCCCCATCACTGGTGTCAGTGGGAGGAATAGTGCCACATCATTGGTGTCAGTGGGAGGAATAGTGCCCCATCATTGGTGTCAGTGGGAGGAATAGTGCCCCATCATTGATGTCAGTGTGGTGGAGGGGAGAATAGTGCCCCATCATTGGGGTCAGGGGGGGGGGGGAAATAGTGTCCCATCGTTGGTGTCAGTGGGGGGAGGAATAGTGCCCCATCATTGGTGTCAGTGGGAGGAATAGTGCCCCATCATTGATGTCAGTGTGGTGGAGGGGAGAATAGTGTCCCATCATTGGGGTCAGGGGGGGGGGAAATAGTGCCCCATCGTTGGTGTCAGTGGGGGGAGGAATAGTGCCCCATCGTTGGTGTCAGTGGGGGGAGGAATACTGCCCCATCGTTGGTGTCAGTGGGAGGAGGAATAGTGCCCCATCGTTGGTGTCAGTGGGGGGAGGAATAGTGCCCCATCGTTGGTGTCAGTTGGGGGAGGAATAGTGCCCCATCGTTGGTGTCAGTGGGGGGAGGAATAGTGCCCCATCGTTGGTGTCAGTGGGGGGAGGAATAGTGCCCCATCGTTGGTGTCAGTTGGGGGAGGAATAGTGCCCCATCGTTGGTGTCAGTGGGGGGAGGAATAGTGCCCCATCGTTGGTGTCAGTGGGGGGAGGAATAGTGCCCCATCGTTGGTGTCAGTGGGGGGAGGAATAGTGCCCCATCGTTGGTATTAGTGACACAAATGATGGGGCACTATTCCTCCCACTGACACCAATGATACTTACTTTGCTGACCCCTGCTCCAGCTTGGGCTCGCTCTCTCACTTACCTGTCAGCTGTCTTCCTTCTCTGGCCGCTCTCCTCTCTCACTCCGGCAGCTCCCTCGGTCTTCTTTGATGTACGCGCGCTGCCGCTCGGCTCCTCCTCTCCAAGCTCCACCTCCTCGCCGGTGATTGGCCGCCTGTGTGCCTCTCCTGAGCTACAGTTCCGGTGGCCAATCAGCGGCGAGGAGGCGGAGCTGCTGAGTGATCCCGGAGGTGTGGCCAGGTGACAGGAGCAGCGTATCATCCCGCCCACACATCGCCGGAGACAGCAGCGGTGTCTCGGTTCCTAAGACCATCGGAAAATATGTGTTTTCCGATGGTCTTAGGCGACCCCTGGGAAATGGTCGTTCGACCCCCAAAGGGGTCACGACCCCCAGGTTGAGAGAACCGCTGCTGTAAAGGGTGGGCCAACTCATTAAAGTTCATGTGTGTGTGAAAAGGCAGGCGTCCCAATACGTTTGGCAATATAGTGTGTGCATTATATATATATCTATCTATCTATCACCTTTTACACAAAAATAATAAATGCACATTTTTTTGCAGGGATGTATGAACAAGCAGATATTCTGACAGGAAGCTTCAATGAACTACCACGGCGCTCCACAGTGCCGCGGTAGTTTATTGAAAACTACAAGCCGGCAGCCTCTAAGGCCGGGACTTGCAGTTCATTCATTCACAGAAGTCCCTGAATGAATGATGCAACTGTGTGAGCCGACAGGTCTGCACCCGTGCTGTTTTCAAACTTGATAGTACAGGGAGACTTCTGTCAGAGGCAAGGGGGGGCAGGCGGCTGCTGCGACTATGGTAACATGTTACATGTTCCACCCATTTTTAGGGTGGAACATGTAATAACATGTTCTCAAAGGTGAACTTATCCTTTAAACACACACGTAACTCATAAAGGTTCTGTTGACCTGGATATATATTGCCCAATATAACTTCTGTCATGATGCACACAGATGTCACTGTAGATCACCTGGTGTGAAACAGCGTATCTCAAATAGTAAACAGATTGTTTAGATAGCAACTTTGATTTGACCTAAGAGTACAGAATGTAATTTTAATATGTTTCTGGAGATAGGGTTTTCAGTCACTTGTGAGGATGTTTAGTGTCCTTACCACCAGATCAATGCTGGTTGTGAGGTATATGCTTTATTATAGGTGACAGAGTAAAAAAAATAAAACTTGATCACATGCGTATATGTAGTTAAAGCGTCAGAAATGCCATTGGGTCATTCACAGTATGCAGGGATATGCCTCTAAGATACCTGCAGGAGGAGCACATGGATGCCATAAATCTGGAACTGACAGTGGGTATCGTGAGCTATTAATAATGAGGGAGGGTAGAAATATTTAATTAGAGCAGTTGTAATGAGCAAATGATGGAGCCCCATAGCTACTCTCTGTGCATTTGCATTATGATACAGCTTAAATCATGCTTGAATGAATCTGTGGAAATTAAAAGTCAGATAAAGTAGCAACTGTAGCAGATAGTGGACAGCATGAACTGCTAGCTTATACATTTTTGTTTCACGATTCATTAACTCCAGCAAAGACCAGAATCCTTGCAAAGTGCCTATGCAAATATTGATTTCCCCAAAGTTAGTAACTGAATAGCCACATGTACCATCCTGTAATACCTGGGCCTGCTGATGGGTTGCTCAGATACTGCATTATAGCCCAATGTCAGGCTGCATACCAAAAAGAACATGACATATTTTGTTTTAAAGTTTTACTGTGTGTGCTTGGAACTGTAAAGATTGTCATTTCAGCAGTACATTGGAGAGCCAGACCTCTACTCACACAGCATAGCAGTATAGGCCTCCAGCATTCTGACAGTCCCCTGCACAGTGCTCCAATCATTAATGCTACTGCTTGAGCTTAAACATTGTTGCTTCGAGACTTAAACATTGTTGATGGGAGCTTTATGCCGGGAGAAGGGGGTGTTGGTCTGCTGAAAACTCAGACAAATTCGCTTTACGTGAGAGCGGTGGTCTGATTCTTCAGTGTGCAGAAGACACCTTTTACAGTTCTAGGCACACATGCATAGTAAAATTTTAAAAATCGCACTTCTGCCTGGAAGTTTATATGATTACATTATCCCATCGGTTTACTGTAGAAACATTTATAATAACTTGATACAAGTATTAGAACTTTTTTCTAATTACAGTATATATACTTAAAGACTAAGTTTACAAAAAAAAATTCAAAATAAGCAAACGGGACTTTACTTACCTCCAGTGAAAATTGTCCCTTGTGCTTCAGCTTCTGTGAAAGTCAAAGCTAGGTGGAAAGGCCAGGCATAGTTGGATAGTCTTGATGAGACCCTGTGACAGCTCCTCGGTTCTACTAACTCCTACCGCACTGGAAATGTACGGTGGTGGGGGTGAGGAGGGGCAATGGAGGAGGAAGATTACTACTGAACTAGAAGACAGAAGCCCAAGGGACACATCACACTAAAAGTAAGTACTGTCCCTTGTGCTTATTTTGTTTTTAGGCAAGCTTAGGCTTTTATGTCATTACGGTTTCTAAAAGTACATAAGTGTAATCTCACTTTTCCCCTAGTTAATTTACAATTACCCTAGCTCTTATATGGCCAGGTAAAGAAGGCTTGATTTCTATCTGTGCTGAGCCCTCTGTGCTTCTAGGCCCCATAGCAGTCCTACTATTTGGTATGTCTGAGGAAGAGTGTGTATTTTATCTAGGCCTAACCAACTATTTCCTACTGCCTCTGGGGAGCCATGTGTGTTTATTCTGCTGGATATTGAACAAAAGTCAGTGACTTATCTGACTTAAGAACAGTTGCTGTGTTTCTTGAGTATTAGTAGCTTACCAAATGCTTTAAAAATGACTTGTGGAATTGCTTATTACATTCTGAAATCTACAAATTTTGCAGATATTTGAAGCTGCATGATCAGTGTCCACTGTATCCCACTGTTATCTCCTTTCTTGTATTAGGAGAACACACCAGTCATGGAACGCCAAATCCAGCAGCTACTGCAACGCTACAAACCTGAAAAACTCTACCAAGTAGTGAATAGTTTTGCAAGCAGTAAGGAAATGGAGCTAAGCCTCAGTCGTGGTGATATAGTGGCAGTCATCCAGCTTGCTGATATAAAAGGAAACAGAAACCGATGGCTGGTCGACACAGGAGGTATATGCTATACTATGAACAAACATACAGTATGTTACAGTGAACTTTCATTCATTGACAGTGGAAACAACTTTGTGGACTGAATCAAACTTTTAAATTCACAAAGATGTAGGGTCATCATTGCAACAAAGGAACGTTTTCTCTACAGATATGCTGATGGTTCAGCTCAATAAAAGTGGATAATTTTGGAATAGATGGGGATACAATACAGTATCTAGGTTACAACAATGTCTTAGTTACTTTGACATCAAGATCTTTGCACCAGAGCTCCCAATTTCAGATCACTGTAGAGCTGTAATACTGTGTGCTTTTGAAAAGCTGGGTAGCATTCCATAAAAGTGCTGCAATTGCAGCAAAGGGCGGCATTGGTACTGTACACAAAACTTTGTTCTGATTAATGTGGTTAGTATCCACCACAACTTACATGGGTGCCAAGGTAACCTGCATTCTAAGTGACAAGGTAGGAACTCCAATTTACATATGGGCTTCAATATTAGAGAAAATGTATGATTTTAAAAAGGAAAGTGAAACTGTCTAACATCAGTGATGGACAGATGAGCAACTAATGATGTTCCTGGTGTATAGGAATACGCATCATCATTTTATACCAGTAAACTTAATTACTACATTATCACATAATTAGATGTATTTTTATTATGTATGTACAGATTGGCTATGTACATGTGTTCTGACATTCTGCATCCCTGTACCATATCCAAGCATTTGGGAGGGTTGAGGTAAGACCCAATCACATACCTCTTAAAAAAAATGTGCCAAAAAAACTTTAATAAAAAGGCTCTTGAGCATATAAGACATGGTGCTGAGAATCAGATATGAGTTGACAAATATGTAAATACATACATAGGATAGTCAAAATTTACATGAAATTCTGTGTGATGCCAAATGAATATCTAACAGAAGGATCTCAGTAAGGTTTGGAGCTTAATTGGATTATGTCAAAATGAACAGGCGCAAACAATTGAAGAAAAATGGTGTGAATTGCTGTAGGATAGCTAACCATTTATAGCAAATACTGTTCTCCTGAGAATCGAGTGAAGACTTTTGAGGATTCTTGACCACAGACTAAGTAGGTAGTGAGTACTGCCTGAGTATTGGTTTCACTGTTTGTGTATACTGTTAAAGGCTATCTGGGGGCTATCTCTCAAATTTATGTTCGCAAACTAGTCCTCCACCAACTGTTTTGGTTTACCTATGTCTTTCACTGTGTTCATTCCATATGATCTTGATCTGCATAATTTATAATAACCAATGCATATTTCATGTTCTTAGATCATACCACCTTTGATTTTTACCTTTCAATTATGAACAAAATAAGCGGACATTTTTACCTTTTTAACCTTTATTAATAGTACATCACATAGTTCTCTACGTTTGTATTTTTATGCCGTCACCCGTGGCTTTCTATCCCTAACAGATACCTGTCAGATGACACAAAGAGCAGACACAAGAGAAGATCAGGCAGATCTGGCACTGGGGTCTAATTTATAAGCCAGTTATATTAATAAAGGTCAGAGTAAGTGTTATGTGTGACAGGACTGTCACTTTTTACATCCCTGAGAAACAAGCAACAATGAATCGAATTTGTATAGTTAAGAATAGATAACAGGATTTTTTACCTACCTGTAAAAATCCTTTTCTTGGAGTAGATTCCAGGACACAGGACCTTAGTCTTAGATGATTGAGTTATGTGGTTACATTCATGTGATTGGGCACTGGCAAACCAGCTGTGAGCACAGCCCTAACATAAACCCTCTCACTCTCAGCAAGCCACAGTTCTATGTTCTTAACTGCACATTACAGTACACAGGAACATGGTTTAAATGATTGGGATGTCTAAAAGTGATGTGACTGAAGGGGTGGGCAACACAGCAACAAACCCTAACCTAAAACAAATGAGCAAACAGGGTGGCAGTCAGCCACTGAAAGTCAAAGAGCAGCTTGAAGCACCCTCACCGCAAACTGGTATCGGAAGATTCTTGACTATCCAAACTTAACAAACATAGAAACAGAAGGCCAGGTGGTAGCCTTGCAAATCTGGGAAACAGATTTCAGATACTGAAAAGTCCATGAAGCACTGATGGAGCTGGTAGAGAGTGTTTTAACAAGAAAAGGAGGAACTATATCCTTAAGACTGTAGACTCAAGAGATGACTTGTCTAATCTACCTGGCACTGGTGAAACAAGAAACAGGATGTTCCCTAAAAGGACACTCAGGAAGACAAAGTCTGATAGTTTTAAAGAAAGCTTTAGCTGAGAGGTAGACTCACTCAGTGCCTACCACATCTAAAGGGCAGATAGAAATCTCCCTGAAATGTTATTTAACATGACATAAGAAGGAAAATGAGATGTCCAGGTTAAAGTGGAAGGAGGAAACCACCTTCAGGACAAAGAGGCCCTAGGCTGCAAGATAACCGTACACTGTGAAACACTAGGAAGGGTTCCTCACAGGAATAGCTAATAACTCAAAGGCACATCTCACAGAGGTGACAGCCAACGCAAAGAAAGGCAACCTAATGAAAGAGGGAGGGAGGAGAATATCCCTGATAGGCTCAAAGGGAGGTTGCAGAAGAATTGTTAAAACCAAGATGAGTTCCCATGGAGCTACTAGGGAGTGTACAGAGGGGACAATGTGCAACCTTCACAAAGACTTTCACCAAGGCAAATGGTCTCTTCTGGAAAAGAATGGCATGAGCTTGACAGTATGTAAAGCCAAATGCTGTTTCAAACTTTCGAGAGGGGTTGAGACAGGATTTGTCCCACATTCCTGGAATGGATGTTCCTAGCATCACACTACTGTGCAAAGTAGACCTACCAGGAGTCATGATAGACTTTGTGAGAAGTTGATTTTCCAGCTTTCAAGAGTGTAGGAATGACTGACATTGATAGGCCCTGTCCGTCAGGACTTGGGCTTCAACATGCATGCCAATAACCAAGGGGCTGGATGAACTGATCCCTTGGACATAAAAAAATATGCAGCGCTCATATGTTAGATAATATCATGATCGCATAAATAGAACAAAGATTCATGATAAAAATAAAGCATTAAAATATTAAAATAATAAACTAGTGACTTCTGTGGTGCATCCAAGGTTGAGAAACCAGTAGAAAGTTCGTGACTTTTGTGGTAAAGAACTGAGAATAGCTTGCACCAACCAGATGTCTCAGCACATGGAGCATGGAGTAATTAAGACCTACTCCTGGTACTCTGAAAGGGAAGCCACTGGAGAGGATGAAGTCATCTTATCTCTCGCCACTAGATGTCATGTTCCCAGGACAGCAGGACAGAGATCCCAGATGTGTACATCAGCCAATGGAGGGATTAATCCAGCACATCAGTCAGCAACCCACAGAAAGCCAGGAAGAATCGAGCACCTTCAAAAAGCCCGGGCTCCCTCCATAATAAGAGAGCCACAGGCCAGAAACTTTGATAGTGTAGTAGGTATTTATTTGTGTAGTAATTTCAAATAGTATAAAACACACTTACAAAATTCAAAATGCAGGAACCATGGGGCAGCTATATAATAAGTGCCCCCAACTGTCTGGACACTTCTGGGATCTTTGTCCTGCTGTCCTGGGAACATGACATCTAGTGGCGAGAGATAAGATGACATCATCCTCTCCAGTGGCTTCCCTTTCAGAGTACCAGGAGTAGGTCTTAATTACTCCATGCTCCATGTGCTGATACATCTGGTTGGTGCAAGCTATTCTCAGTTCTTTACCACAAGAGTCACAAACTTTCTACTGGTTTCTCAACCTTGGATGCACCACAGAAGTCACTAGTTTATTATTTAATATTTTAATGCTTTATTTTTATCATGAATCTTTGTTCTATTTATGCGATCATGATATTATCTAACATATGAGCGCTGCATATGTTTTTTGGTCAATTTACTATCCGAAGTTCTCGAGGTTTACTTCCTATGCTAGCTGCTTGTCTAGTTAATTTATTTATTCATTTATTTATTTCTCGTATCAATTATCAGACACCTAGCGCTGTTGCACTTTACTCTATTTGATCCCTTGGACAGAAGATATGGCTGATCTGGTAGGGCCCACGGAGAGTCTCAGCGTTTGCAAGGAGTCCGAGCAGTACTGCTTCTTGGGCCAGTTCAGTGCATTAAGGATCACTGGAACACCCTCTCTCTCAATTCTTTGAAGCAGATGAGGAAGTAGCTTTAACAGGAGAAAGACGGACATAAATTGAACGGAACTGATTCCAAACAGTCACCAGAACATCCACTGTGAAAGCCCGAGGGTCTCTGCTCCTGGCGACAAACCTGTCCAGCTTTTTTTGAACCTGGATGCCAGAAGATCAAGTCTGGTGTCTCACACCTGTGGTTGGGGTCTTCAAACACCTCTGGAGAAAGCGAAAGTTCCCCTGGAACCAGACGCTAATGAATGAGAAAGTCCCTATGACCGTTTTCCATACATGGAGGGTCCAGCAAAGAATCGGCAATATATTTACCAAGATGTTGATCAGATGCAGAGCTTCTTCTGCCATCCAAGTTCCCTGTACCAATAGTGTATTTAGGACAGACTTGGGAGAGCCTTCAGCTGAACCCTCAGAATCAAATGAGGTGCCTCCTCCTCTCTCCTCTCTCTCTCTCTCTCTCTCTCTCAGTAAGTACAGGTGCAATCAGAAGAAAAATCAGAGTGAGGGAGCCTTTGTGCTGCCCCTGCAGTCTGATGCCTCTAAAGGGACTGACAGGCTAAACATGAATGCTTGCATTGTAGCTAAATGTTTCTCTCTGAATAAACAGGAGGTAGCAGGTGCACCTGAAGGTGCTATGGAGGCTTCTGAGATGGAAAGAGACTCTCATTGGGGACAACAGTCAGGACAAGGAGTAGTGGAACCCTGCAGGGTCCAGTTCGGAAGGATTTGATATTTTTGATGCTAGTCCAACCCACCAAGAGAAATGGCAAGAGCTGATTTGATAATATCGACTGACATCATGTGTATTAGAATTATCGAATAGAAAGAAACTCAAATCCATTTGTTATTGGAATTATTAAACAAATTTGAAAATTTAATTCATTTCCCCATCGGCCTGAACTACTATTGCATCATGTAACGTTGTCTGAGTGAAACGAATGCATTTATTAATTTTGTTATAAAAATGTTTCGGATTTGTTGACATTCGTTACTATGTCCCTTTGGAGGTTCGAATACAAATCTCCAAAAAAAAAAATTTTAATCCGAAAAACTAATCAAAACGAAACACACATGTCTAATACCTAGGTGATTGCCTAATGCGGATCCAGTGCCCAAAGCAACATTTCAGGCTGGCTTAAGATATGCTTTTCCAGCAGTGCTGAATCATCACATCTGGAAAGCTGCAAAAATAGAAGCTGTAGTTGATATCTAGCAGCTCCAAACTTAGTAGAAGAATCATGCTGTAAATCAGCAAAGAAAAATAAAACAACAAAAAAAAGCCGAAGACAATCATACACCTAAGGACACTAACAAAAAAGTGAGGTTTGCTTGGAGTGGGAGGGGTAATACTAAGTTTGTCCTTACAGCATTTTTTTTCTAGTGTCCAAACATCTGAATGTAGTTTCATAACCTAATCATCTAAGACTAAGTTCTTGTGTCTCGTAATGCTTGATTAGAAAAGAAATACAATTACCTATCTATGTATGGGTGAACTGGCTGAAACAGTTGAGGTACTTGAGCACTAGCCAGTAGAAACCGCTGATGTATGATTTGCTGTCTTGCCATGCTCTTGAGGGGACTCCCATCCTGGACCTGACAGTACACCAACACGCCATGGGGATAATGATAGTAGAGCTAAAGAATAAACGTTTTTTTCCCATTTTGGATAGAGTAATGAAGGATCATAACTGCTGTGAGTTTTTTTCCCATCTGTTTCCCATTGGGGAGATTTCCACTTCCTCTCCCAAAGCCAAAACAGGAAGTGACAGGAAATCCCTCCAACGTGAGGGAAATCCTTGTTGTCACAGAACTAATGTCCCAATTGGAAGATTTCCATATATCCCTGTTCTGGTGACAGCACAAAAATTTGGGATTTTCTTTTACCTTCACTCTCAGTAGTAACAGCGAACAGGACAAATAAAGGTAAAGGATGGATCACCCTTATGGGGGCACAGACAGCCTTTAGTTATACTTGAAGATTCATTCACTTTAGTATTTTTGTTGTTTATTTGCTTAATAACATCTGAATAGACATATGAGATTAATTTTGAATCGAAATTCAGACAAAATTTTCATTATTCAGAGATTTGAATGTATCAAAAATTTCTGAATTACTAAAGCTATGAACTTCAATGAATCCGAAATAAACTATAACAAAGCAAATTATTTGAATTTGAAAATGAATTTGAATTTGAAATGGAAACATATTGCAATAAATACAGTAAGGCATAGGATGATGACTCCTACTTAGGCTGCTTTATAGAATAGAAAATATTAGAATAGAATATAAAATAGAATAGAACAGAATAGAAAATAAAGAAATAGAATAAAATATAAAAGAATAGAATAGAGTTGAATAAAATAAAAAAGAATAAAATAGAACTGAAAGAAATAGAATAGAATAAAATAGAACAAATATAGCCATCTTTGGAAACTTGAATTTTGAATGTCGAAATTTGAATTGTGAAATTCAAATTTCGATATTCAAAATCGATTTTCTGAATATGGCTAAATTTGAATCGATTTGAAAATAATGAATATATGAAATGAATTCCGAAAATTATTCATTCTAACATAACGATTATGAAAAAAAAATTATTAACTTAATGAACAAATCTGAAATGAAACACATTTTTTTTGTCTTGCACATCTCAACTTGTGAAGAGGGTTAGGAGTATAGGTTATCTGAAAACTGCAAAATATCCCAGATTTTCCTATGCCAATAACAAGAATGGATGATGGCCCTAAATACTTGAGTAGCAGCCTACCAGTAATATCAAAGATGATGGTGGCCCTAATGTTTCAGTAGCAGCTGTCCAGTCACAAATGGATGCTTTAAGAGCAACTATTGTTGGGTCTAAAGTCTTCAGTAGCAGCCTCCCAATAAAAATAGATATTTGAAGTACCTCTATTGGTGTCTCTAGTTTCTTCACTAGCAACTTCCCAAAAGGAATTGGTCCTCTTATCCACGTATAGTAGCCACATGTACGTTAAGGAGTGGTGAGGTCTCCATGCAATGTCTATCCAGCAGCAGCTGTCCTGAACATTCTTCAGCATAGCACACTCCCCGGAAGATGCTCCAGATAGGTAGCCATCTTCCTAATTCTCTAGGTCCTAAGCACAGGCAAAAACCTTTCCTTTTAGTGACATCCTCTCCATGCAAAAGACTGGACAGGAAGACCCTTCTGGAAGGTTGCGCAAAACATTTATTCTGACCCCTCAGCTCACATCGCTGGAATAAAACCCTCCGTGATTGGCCAATAAAGTTTTGAATTGATCACCTTGTTACTTCTCATATTAACTACTGGAGACAACACAACAGCAGCATGCTGTCTAATACACTGCTCAAAAAAATTAAAGGAAACCTTTTAGTCAGAGTATAGCATCAAGTCAATTAAACTCCTGGGATATTGATCTGATTAGTTAAGTAGCAGAGTGGGTTATTAATCAGTTTCAGCTGCTCTGGTGTTAATGAAATTAACAGGTGCACTAAATGGGCAACAATGAGATGACCCCCAAAACAGGAATGGTTTATCTTTTCTGACTGTTTTTCACTAGTTTTGCATTTGGCTATGGTCAGTGTCACTATTGGTAGCATGAGGCAATACCTGGTCTCTACAGAGGTTGCACAGACAGTCCAACTCCTCCAGGATGGAACATCAATACGTGACATTGCCAGAAGGTTTGCTGTGTCTCCCAGCACAGTCTCAAGAGCATAGAGGAGATTTCAGGAGACAGGCAGCTACTCTAGGAGAGCTGGACAGGGCTGTAGAAGGTCCTTTAACCCATAATCAGGACTGGTATCTGCTCATTTGTGCAAGGAAGAACAGGATGAGCACTGCCAGAGCCCTACAAAATGACCTCCAGCAGGCCACTGGTGTGAATGTCTCTGACCAAACAATCAGAAACAGACTTCATGAGGGTGGCCTGAGGGCCCGACATTCTCTAGTGGGCCCTGTGCTCACTGCCCGACACCACAGCACTCGACTGGCATTTTGCCATTGAACACCAGAATTTGCAGGTTTGCCACTGGCGCCCTATGCTTTTCACAACTGAGAGCAGGTTCACCCTGAGCACATGTGCCAGATGAGAAGGGGACTGGAGAAGCGTGGAGAATGTTTTGCTGCCTGTAACATCATTCAGCATGACTGTTTTTGGTGGTGGATCAGTGATGGTCTGGGGAGGCATATCCATGGATGGATACACAGACCTCTACAGGCTAGACAATGGCACCCTGACTACCATTAGGTATCGGGGTGAAATTCTTGGACCCATTGTCAAACCCTACGCTGGTGTAGTGGTTCCTGGGTTCCTCCTGGTGAATGACAATGCCGGTCTCATGTGGTGAGCGTATGCAGGCAGTTCCTGGATGATGAAGGAATTGATACCATTGATTGGCCCCCACGCTCGTCTGATCTAAATCTAATAGAACAGCTCTGGGATATCATGTTTCGGTGCATCCGATGCCACCAGGTTGCACCTCAGACTGTCCAGGAGCTCAGTGATGTCCAGATCTGGTAGGAAATACCCCAATACACTATTATGGAGCATGCCCCAACATTTTTAGGCATGTATACAAGCACGTGGGGGCCATCCAAACTACTGAGTACCATTTTGAGTTGCTGCAATGAAATTTTAGCAAAATGGACTAGCCTGTTACATCATTTTTTCACTTTGATTTTCGGGGGTGTCTTTGAATTCAGTCCTCTGTAGGCTGATCACTTTCATTTCCATCAAACGATCGGGCATCCTTACATTCCTAAGACATTACCCAGTCCATACCTGTATAGATATCCAGCTTGATATTTTTTTCCCCATTGAGATCTGATGTATTTTCAAAGTGTTCCTTTAATTTTTTTGAGCAGTGTATATTGTAGCTCACCAATTTTTACATGTATTGGCTGCATTAGTTTTTATTTTAGGCTCTTTCCCCTCTGTTTTCACCTAGTGATCTGGCCAATAACACATCTTCTTTTTTCATAATTACATGCCAACCAAGATGAACAGCAAAAGTGACAGAGACCATGCAATCTGTTTTTATCAAAGGCTTGAAGCTTTTTTTTAATTGTGTCTCTCGTTAATTTTTGTTTCTGATAGCATCTCGTGGATATGTACCGAGCAGCAAACTGCATCCCTACCAAATGGAACAGAGTACAAATCGCTTACGTGTTTCACTTGAGTCAAACAAGACTGTTGAAATGAGAAGACATTCGCTTACACCTCAAGTTTGTCCTTATCCAACCTCTCCAGGGTATCTGGACACCATTGAAACATTTCAGGTAAGAATTTAAAGCACACACCACAGCAATTTTGTAAAAAGCCAGACAAGAATCTTTGTTTCATGGACTAAAAATTGTCCCTATGCAATTCTATACTGTACATTAAAAGAATTGAATTATGTGTAACTGTAGGAACTGCAATACCACATTTTACCAGCAGGTGGAAATGTGTAATACAGAATAGAGAGCTACAAGCCCTAGTTAAAAAATGTTGCTGCAGGAGAACCTATTATTGTTCCTACATAGAAGGGTCATAGGCCGAGGCAAGATTGTCATCTAAACAAAAAAATACAATTTACTATTGACTGTGGAGAACAGAACTGACAAACAGGAGTGGCGCAATAGTAGCCATTGCTCATATAGATAGCCACAATATACAATTTAGCTTTAGATGATAGATTTTATAGTTTTGTTTTTTTTATTTATTTTTTTCTTAATAAGGTTAATTAAAAGTCTCCTTCCTAGCTTTTCAATAAACTTGTGACATTTTTAGACTTACATAGTATCCATGCATAGTGTTTTTTTAACCTAGGTCCACAATAGCGCTGCTGCATAATTCTTTAGTTCTTCTGTAGCACCTTTTTTACACATGTTTTTGATGCATTTCCATGCTTCATACTTTTTTTTGGGAAGAGGAGAATAGTTGTTAAACACAAATCCCTGGCATAACGCACTGAAAACACATGTACATGCATTTATCATGCTTTTCCATTGAAGTCAATGGGGTCATGCTGCACCAAGAGAAGCACCTGCATCATGCTGCATCATGTTGCATTGATGTGAACGGGCCAAATAGAGAATAATGTGATTTCAGTTGTTATGCATTGCAGCGCAGTGGCAGATGCAGGAGAAACCACATTAGTGCAAACAAACCTTTGTGAGACCAGGGAGCAGGGGCGGACTGACAACTCATGGGGCAATAGGGGATCATGGGGCCACTGTGTCCTTGCCCAAACTCAAAAAAGCCTATGAAAAAGGTACCAGGGGCATCTCATGGGGCCCCTACTGACCCCGGGCCCTCGGGCAGTGCCCAAGTTTCCAAATGGTCAGTCTGCCCCTGGCAGGGAGTGAATTTAGTAAATCTGCCCAGGACAAGTGAATATGGCCTTGACAGTGGATTTAAACTGTTATGATGTAATAATAAAGCTGAACTCAAGGCAGATATAAAAATTAAGTTATATAATAATTTTCTTCTACAGTGCTATAATAAACTAAATATGTATACTATGACACATACTGTAATTATTTTCATCACATTCATGCATTTGCAGCATTGGAATTTACTGGTTGGTCTATAATTACTCTTAGTATTGGAGAACCAATGTGTTATTTCGCCAGTGTTTCAGATATGCACTGAACATTGTGCTCTGTTAAGGTGTGATGTGCCCTGGGAATGGCTGTGTTGCTCAGGAACAATTCTTTTGCTGTAGTCCTGTGAGCAGCTTTTCCAGCAGCTGTCACGACTGACTCACATCCCTGATTATTAGAAAGGCAGCAAATGTCAGACAATAAGCTGTGCCAGCCATTCGCTGATGACTGGGCATTCATGCTTTCAGAGGTTTGTAGGGGGATTCCAGCACTGACCTGCTTCATCTGCAGCTGGATGCATAGTAGAGTGGATGGATGGTGCCAAGTCAGCCATTTTAAACCAACATACAGTATGCAGGTTGTATTACAATACTTATAGTACTGTAGCTATTGTCTGCACGATCTGGGCATTCAGGATGGCCATTGATAATTTGGTAATCACAGCTGAGTTTCTAAAGGCTGGCCATAGATGGATTTTTTTTGTGTGTTTTTTTTTGTTGTTTTTTTAACCACCTCCTGCCCGCAATATAGTAATATGACAGACGCAAGGTGGTTCTCTTGTTCTGGGAGGACATCATATGACGTCCTCCCATTCTCGCCGCGCATGTGCGGCTCCTGGAGCGCGCAGCGCGGCGACCAGCGGTGCGCTGTGTCCCTCGGACACAGCGGATCACCGATCCACGGAAAGAGCCGAAGATGGCGGCTCGGTCATGTGATCAGCTGTGTCCAATCACAGCTGATCACATGTAAACAGGGAAATGCCAGTTATCTGCATTTCTCTCCTCTCAAGCGGTCACGCTGACAGCTCGAGAGGAGAGGAGAGCCGATAATCGGCATTCCGCGGAGGGGACATGTACACTGATCATCAGGGCACTGATGATCAGTGTGCCCTGATGATCAGTGTTGCCCCAGCAGTGCCAGTGCCACTGTCAGTGTCCATCAGTGCCAGCTGTCAGTGCTCATCAGTGCCATGTGCCAGTGCCCATCAGTGCCACATCAATGCCACATATCAGTGCCTACCAGTGCACATCAATGCCACATATCAGTGCTCATCTGAGCTGCCTTTCAGTGTCACCCATCAGTGCCAATCAGTGCCGCCTATCAGTGCCGCCTAACAGTGCCAGTCAGTGCCGCCTAACAGTGCCAGTCAGTGCCACCTAACAGTGCCAGTCAGTGGAACCTAACAGTGCCAGTCAGTGCCACCTAACAGTGCCATATATCAGGGCCATATATGAGTGCTGCCTTTCAGTGCCCATTAGTGATGCCTGTCAATGCCCATCAGTGCCTCCTACCAGTGCCTCCTCATCAGTGCCCATCAGTGCCACCTATCAGTGTCCATCAGTGCAGCCTATCAGTGCCCATCACTGCAGCCTCATTAGCGCACATCAGTGAAGGAGAAGAATCACTTATTTACAAAACTGTATAACAAAAACTAAGAAAAAACATTTTTTTTTTCAAAATTTTCAGTGGTTTTTGGTTTGTTTAAGAAAAAAAAAAATCCCAGAGTTGATTAAATACCACCAAAATAAAGCTCTATCTGTCACAAAAAAATGATAAAAATTTCATATGGGTACAGTGTTGCATGACCGCGCAATTGTCATTCAAAGTGCAACAGCGGTGAAAGCTGGAAATTGGCCTGGGCAGGAAGGGGGTATAAGTGCCCTGTAGGCTTGTGGTTAAACTAAAAAAGTGAACGGATTCCTCCATCCATGCAATTAAGGTGGGTAGATGGCCATTGATAATTCATTCGATAATCACAACTGAGTTTCTAAAGGCTGGCCATAGATGGATCGTTTTTTTTTGTTTTGTTTTAATAAAAAAAAAAAAAAAGATTAATCTATGGCTAGCCTTTAGAAACTCAGTTGTGATTATCGAATTATCAATGGCCATCTACCCACCTTGATTGTACGGATGGAGGAATCCGTTCCCTTTTTTTTTTTTTTTAAATGAAAAAAATGAACGGATTCTTCCATCCATACAATCAAGGTGGGTAGAGGAATCCTCCCCACTGAGACATGGGGGTTATTTATTAAAACTTGAGGGTGCAAAATCTGGTGCAGCTCTGCATAGAAACCATTCAGCTTCCCGGTTGTATTGCCAAAGCCTAATTGAACAAGCTAAAGTAAGAAGCTGGCTACCATGGACAGCTGCACCAGATTTTTCACTCTCCAATTTTAGTAAATGAACCCCATTGTATTCTGACAACAGGACTCTCAGTGCCCACACATGGATCAAAATTCGGACAGTCCCTGCTGAACCAACTGCATTCTGGTCAGGGGTGGACTGACAACTCATGGGGCCCCAGGCAATAGGAGATCATGGGGCCCCCTGTGTCCCTGCGCACTCAAGCCGCACCCACACAAAGCCCCACCTACATATTACACTGCCCGCAATACATACATTTGTCAAAGAATTTCTCTACAGTATGTTCAAAATAAATGTTTATTGCACAAAATAAAGAAAAAAAAACTTACATTAAAGAGAGCACAACAATGGTACATTTCAAAATGAAAGTTTTAATGAATTTTTTTCCTATTCCTTTCACTGGCACCAATGATAGGGCACTATTCCTCCCACTGACACCAATGATAGGGCACTATTCTTCCCACTGACACCAATGATGTGGCACTATTCCTCCCACTGACACCAATGATGTGGGCACCTGTGGCACTATTCCTCCCACTGACACCATGTGATGTGGCACTATGTCTATTCTTCCCACTGACACCAATGATAGGACATTATTCCTTTCACTGACATGAATGATAAGGCACTATTCATCCCACTGATACCAATGATGGGGCATTATTCCTCCCACTGATACCAACAATGGGGCACTATTCCTCCCATTGAGGCACCAATGATGTGGCACTATTCTTCCCACTGATACCAATGATAGGACATTATTCTTTTCACTGACATGAATGATAAGGCACTATTCATCCCACTGATACCAATGATGGGGCATTATTCCTCCCACTGATACCAACAATGGGGCACTATTCCTCACATTGATACCAAAGGTGGGATGCCATTCCTCCCCCTAATACTAAAGATGCGTGGTTTACCCCAGTGATGCCAGGACAATTTGTGAACAGCCCTTAAAAGTGGTTTAGACTGCTCAGAAACAGGATAGTTCGGATGGAAGATGTGAGAGAGGAAGAAATGTAGGAGCGTGGGAGGGGGCCAAGTGGGAAGCGGCCTACCTACAGGTTGGGACCTGGAAAGGAGGATTTCTCAGCCTCACCAATCCCTACCTGTGGAGCCAGGAAAGGAGTCAGCCCAGCAGAAGGCATGAAAGGCAGCCACCTACCTAAACCAGCTCCCTGGGCAAGCTAAGGAGAAAAGAGCACTCTGGTGGGAAACCTGATTAGCTCCTTACCTGGGACTGTTCATTTTAAAGTGGCAGGCACTGGATCCCCTTACCCAGGGATTGCTCCAGACAGCTGGATAGAAGAGGATTATCTGGGGTTAGGCGTGGTACATTGGAAGAGGCTGGAAAGCTCTCCAAGAAAAGAAACCCTTCTATGGACCTGTATATAGTTGCTACGGAGTTTGTCCTCAGTTGCAGTTCCCTTGGGCATCCTATACATCCATTACCCCATCCAAGTTCAATACCCCTAATAAAACATAAAAACCAAGCTCATGGACTGTTTACTGTCTCAGGAATGCAAGTCTGAGAAAATGCATGT